TAAAAAGTTGCTCTGGGGTGCAGGGTGGACAGAGAAGAGGATGCTGCATGCGAGTGGGGAGGGGAGCCGGCCTTGTGCTGACTGCGGGCTTTAGCCCCCTTGGAGGGACCCGAAGGGAAGGGTAGGGCAGGGCAGCACCGGAGCGGGGTGCGGGGTGGCTTTGAGAGTGCTCTGAGGCGCACGTCACGCCGAGGCCAGGGCAGCGGATGCCTCGGCGGCTCGATGGGGCTGGGGTGACTTCACCAGAGTGGGGCATGCAGCCCAGGATTCCCGGCCCAGCGTAGGGGGCAGGGGGCACTGGGGAGGGAATGTGGGGAGCAGCGTGGATCGGGGCTCCCAGCACTCCAGGGCCTGCAGACTGGGGGAGTTTGGGGATCGCAGTGGCTGGGGCCCCGGCTGGGGGAGCGGCTCCCGGACTCAGCCGCCTGCAGATGAGGTCAGCGCTCCTCGAGGGGCCCGGTCCCCGCCAGCCAGCGCCAGCCAGCGGGGCCTCTGCCAAGTTCTGATCACTTCGGAGTGCTGCTCCTCCTCCCGGGCTGAAAACCAAGGGAGGCGCCGCCGCCCCCAGGCCAGGAGGACTTGGACGGGACTCAGCCCGGGTCCCAGGGTCAGTGCCGACTCGCAGGAAGGGGCTGGCCGCTGACCACTGGCAGCTGGGCCGTGGGAAGTGGGCGAGCGGCGTCCTGGGTTCGGGTCTGGACCCTGCGCTCTGGTCTGGGCTCCGTTCCCGCATGTGCCGGGACGCTGTGATTTCAGTCGGGGCTCAGAGCCCGCTCAGGGCGTTGGGGAGGCGCTGCCTTTCAGAAGGACATGGATCTCCTCGAGTGCCCTGGCCTTTGGGATGTAAAGTCTCTGTTTCTGGGTTCCTGAGCCCTCACATTGTCTCACAACCATCTAATTAAAACTGCATTAGGCACAGGAAAAAGCGAGAGCTCCTGATTTGGGGTTTGTGCCTTTAGCGGGGCCTCTGTGAGCGGGGTCCGCTGCTGTCACAGGTCTCGCTTGCTAAGTCACTAGGTTGCCCCGGCGGGCTCTACCTCGAAACCCTCCCGCCTCAGCCTCCTCTCTGAGTGCTGGGATGGCAGGTGAGCACCACCATGCCGGGCTTGCCACACCCTTTGGATGAATCACCGTGGCGGGGGTCAGTCTTCCTTTGTGGACGCCTGGCTGCCAAGCCAGTCTCCCCAGTGACCTCTGGCCTTTGAGCCAGCCTCCCCGCCCCGGCTTGGGTGCTGACTTCAGGCCCCAGGACGGGCTCTTCCTCCAGCTGTTTCCACCTCCATTTCCACTCAGCTGGGTTGAACCAGCCCGTTGGCGCGTTAGCCTGCGGGGAGGAGGGCCTCTCCACCCCAGGCCTGGAGCTTGGTTTGGGTCTGGGAGACCTCAAGGTTCCCCTCTGCTTGGGGTCAGACCTGAGGGCTCCTGGGGGCTTGAAAATGGACACTGGGCTCCCCAAACACTTGGAAAAGTAGGTACAATATCTCTAGTCACTGTTTGACTAATCAATTATTAATCTATTTAATGACTAATAATTATTCATCAATACACGCAGTAACCTTGTTTAGAAATGAGGATGTTTTGCTGGTGGCACACCCACTGGTGCCCGCCTGTGATCCCAGCACAGGGGAGGCTGAGGCACTCCCATGAGGCACATGGGAGGATCACTGCAAGTTCGAGGCGAGCCTGAACTGCACAGAGAGACCATGTCTCATAAAAAGAAAAGAAAAAAAAAGATACGAGGGAAGTTGCACTGGCAGAGACTTTATGAACAAAACCCAGATTGCATAGGAACTGTCACAAAGAATCAGCCACTGGGACCTCATCTCATTAAAAAGCTTTCATAGCAGAAGAAATCACTAACAGAGTGAAAATACAACCCACAGAGTGGGACAAAAACTTTGCCAGCTGGTCCTCAGACAAAGGACTAATATCTAGAATACATAAACTCAGAAAGCAGAACCCCCAAATTTAAAGACCCAGTCAAAAAGTGGGCATCTGAAATGAATAGGCACCTCTCAGATAAAGAAATACAAACAGGGGCTGGGGATTTAGCTCAGCGGCATAAGCGCCTGCCTTGTAAGTAGGCAGTCGTGAGTTCGATCCCTGGTACCGATAAAAAGGAAAAAAAAAAAAAGAAATACAAACAGCAAATGCATATGAAAAAATGTTCAGTTTCACTGATCACTTGAGAGATGCAAATTAAAACAACACTGAGATTCCATCTTACCCCGGCAAGAATGGCTGCTGTCAAGAATCAGCCAATAAGGAATACTGGGGGGCTCCGCACTGGTGGGGTGCACATGGCAACCACTGTGGAAGTCAGTGTGTAGGTTCCTCAGAAAACTAGGACTGGAGGTCCCATGTAACACAGCTATTTCCCTTCTGGGTGTCTTCACAGAAGAACTGAAAACATCACAGCACAGTGACACATGTGCACCCATGTTTACAGCAGCACAGTTTGTAACAGCCAGATCTTGAAAACAGCCTTAAGTGTCCAGCAACCGAGGAATGGATAGAAAGATGTGGTGTTTTTATACAGTGGAGTACTACTAAGCCATAAAGAAGGACAAACTGATTTGTATGGGTAAACAGAGGCACCGAGAGTCCGTATCTTAAGTGAGATAAACCTGACGCACATCTCACTGCTGCCCTGTAGTGTAGAGAGCGTAAAATATGAGGAAATGTGTGCTAGATACCGGGAAGAGGAAGAAAACGTTCAAACGAGAAGAGAATGGGAGGGTGAGGGAAGGAAAGAAGGCACAAGGGGAAAAAGAGAAAGAAGGGAAAATGGGAACGGAGCTTCTGGAGATGAGGAGGGGAAGGGGGTGAAGGGAGGGGAGGGGCGTGGGGAGCACAGTGGAGATGTGTCGCGTACAGGCTCCCAAGCCCTGTGTGTCATCATGTATATCTAAAATATACCAACAAAAAGGGAAAATAGGGGAAGAGTTAAGCCAGGTGTGGGGTGCACACCCGTAATGCCAGCACTCTGGGGGGCCAAGGCACGAGGGTCACAAATTTGAGCCCAGCCTGGGTAATTGAGCGACTAAGTGAGACCTAGGTTCAGAAAAGGGCCCTGGTGCAGACGCCTGGCAAGGGGCAGGGGCGCGCAGTGCGGAGGTCCCAGTTGTTGGTTATTTTGAGAAGGGGCTTGCTAAGCTGCTCAGGCTGGGCTGGAGCTCATGACCCTCCTGCCTCGGCCTCCCAGAGCGCTGTGATCACAGGTGAGCCCACCATGCCGCTCAGGGACGCTTCGCATGCGTTGCTCTAGGGAACCCTGAGCCTGGGCGGCCATGGCCACGCTTGCGCAGTTCGGGAGGCGCCGGAGGGGGGCGGGTGCAGCACGGGGTGCCCCGGTTGCAGTTGAAGGCAGGCCCGAGGCTCCAGTGCAGTGTCGTTTCCGCGGAGCCAGACCCGGAGGAGGGCGCTGACCACGCACCGCGTCCCACGTGGCCTGAGCCCGCGCCTGGCGCCCCGAGATCCTCGGGGGGGGGGGGGGGGAGGACCTGGGGCAGGGTGGCAGCCGAAACCGCAAGTGGGACACACACGTGTCGAGCTCCAAGGTGCGGTGAACGCTGCATTTCCGAAGCAGGCCTGCCACAGTTCCGGGCGTGGCGGCGCAGCCTGTGGCCCAGCATTTGGGAGGCTGAGGCAGGAGGGTCATGAGCTCCAGCCCAGCCTGAGCAGCTTAGCAAGCCCCTTCTCAAAATAACCAATAACTGGGACCTCCACACTGTGCGCCCCTGCCCCTTGCCAGGTGTCTGCACCAGGGCCCTTTTTTGAACCTAGGTCTCTGAGCTAGAGTTCCAAAGCAGCCCGAACTACACAGGGAGACCTTGTCTCGGAACAAAGAAAAGACGCTGGCAAGCATGACAGGGTGTTTGAAGCGCGGGAGGACTTTGAGGGGAAATAGTGGCAACGCATCCTTGTTATGGATTAACAACTGGTGGTCACCTTACCAGCTGGGTTACCTCAGCATGGTACTGAGTACAATGTTCCCCCTGAGGAAAGCTGCCAGCATAAACAGAGAGTGCAGAGGAAGAGCGAGGCACTGTGGGCTCTCCTAGGTGTCCCTGTTTGAGCTGTGGGTTCTCCTGGAGGAGCTCGTCATGACTAGCTTCCCCAGTGTGAGTTCGACCGTTGTCATCGGAGGAGCCCGGGACCTTGTTGGTGAGTGTGGCTGTGGTTCACTTTGGGGGAGCTGTGGTCCTCACATCGAGCATTGCTTCCTGACCCTGGAGGGGAAGACGTGTGCCGCTTGGTCTCCAGGATGAACTCATCATGCTGGCTTCCTGGCATGTGCCCAGCTGTGCTTGTTGTCAGAGGAGCTCGGGCCTCCATGTCGCTGAGGATGGCTGTGGTGCTTTTCAGGGCAGCCCTGGTCCTCACTGTGAGTGTGACTTCTTGGCTCCTGTGTAGAACCCTCATCCCACCAGCACAGCTCCTTCACCCGCTGGCACTGACTTTCTGGCTTCCACCGCTGACCTTTGGGCCTTCCCGGCACAGATCTGTAAAAGAGACTGGCGTGGGTCCTTGTCGTGGGCTCCGGCTGGACTCGTGGAGGCACTGTCTTGGGCTCTGTGTTTTCATCTGGCTTACACAGGGCATTGCTGTGAGATCTAGGCCCTCGGCTGAATGTTCTGGGTCTTCAGTGTTGTGGACAGATTTCCTGCACTTTGTGTTTAACTCAGGTGACCACCACAAAACAGTGTGACACATTCTGTGTCCCGTATGTCCCTGTTCTTGTAACCACGACCACCATAGTCCTTTACTGTGATACACTGTTGTGAATGTGACTGCCCCTGGCTGCGTCAGAGGGGACTTGCGGGGTGCAGAGGTGAGAAGGGGAGGTGCAGGGTGGGGCAGGGCTGCCGGCCTTGCCCGCGCCCTTTCCTTCCTTCCTGGCTGCCCTGCCTTTCTCTGGGGCGCTCCCCTGCGGTGGCCCCAGAGTGCTGTCCCAGCCCTGAGCAGAGCTGACTGAGGAGACCCTGTCCCCGCCACAGGTACCATGTGAACTTCAGGCCCAGGTATGTGACCAGGTTCAAGACGGTGACCCAGCTGGAGTGGAGATGCTGTCCCGGCTTCCGAGGCCCGGACTGCCAGGAGGGGCCCCGGGTCCCCGCCCAGGGCCCGCACCCCTCGCCCTCGCGGCCACGCAGCCTGAAAAAGGCCACAGGTAATGTTGGTCCCATGCTAGCCCCCGTGGGTTGGAGCAGAGAGACCCACGGGTGTGTGCCCTGGGTTCAATCTCCAGTACCTTGAAAGAAAAGGAAAAAGGGCGGGCGTGGTGGTGCATACCTGTGATCCCAGCACTCAGGAGGCCGAGGCAGGAGGATCACTGCGCATTTAATGTCAGTCTAGGCTACACAGTTCAAAGCCAACCTTGACTACAAGGTGAGTGCCTGTCTCAAAACATCAAAAAAGAATACACAGAAGGGCATCCAATGTATTGTTACTGTTTGATAATACGATCATAAACCTGAGTTTCAAGGAATTAATGATGTCTTTCTAAAATAGACACCTGGGGTCCTTCTCATCCTGTGTGGGGTGAGGCGGCTTCGAGGCTGGGCCCCAGGTTGGAATTCCCTGTCCTGCCCTTTCTCTCCTACTGGGGACCAAACCCAGGGCCTCTGGCTGGCCTGCACCCCCAGCCCTATTTCTCTCTTTCTTTCTTTTGCTCTTTTTATTTTCATAGCCCCAGGCGCCCTGTGGGGCTGCAGTTTGGGATCCCCCAGCCCCGGGCCCTGAGAGCCTGGGTTACAGATGGGGCCGCCACGCAGGCCTCCCGCAACATCTGCTGCTCCTGGCACTCGGGAGGCTGAGGCAGGAGGGTGGGCCCTGACTTTGAGGCCAGCCTGGGCTACATGTCAAGCAAAGTCTCCTCCCAGGACAAAGCAAAACCCAGAAACCAGAAGAGCCGGGACAGAGGTTTAGGGCGGAAGACGCAGGCAGGGGGCTCAGGTGTCTGCGCCCCAACCACCCAGCCACCTGCCTCTGAGCACTGTGCGCTGGAGGTCGCCTGTGTCTCAGGGCCTCGCCCTCCCCTCACCCGGGAGTATCCCCAGCCCCACCTGGCCGCTCGCTGGCCGCCCTGCCCAGGCCCCTGGGCAGCCCCTCCCCTGCGGGCCACTTTCCCCAACTTCCCTTTTCATCGCTGCGGTTTCTCTGTGATTCGGTTGATTTCCGTCGTCTGAGTCACGGGGGCCGTGGTTATAATTTCTGTTTCTTTCAGAGGCTTTTTGGAGGGCGTTTCTCAGATGGGGTTCCCAAAAGTGGCCAGTCGCCCTTCCCCCTAAGGCAGGGGATGTGTCCCTGGGCCTCAGTTTCCCCTCCCTCCTTGTGTGAAATGACATCAGGGCCCTCTTGCTGGAAATGGTGGTGGACGGTGGTCAGAAGTTGCCAGAAGAGGCTGTCACGTCCGACATGGGCACGATGTTGTGCCTTCCAGCCTCAGACGGGCGATGTCACCATGCTGCTCAGTCATCTGCTGGGGACTGTGGTGTGGGTGGTGCCAGGCTGCAGACACATCCTCTCTATCTCCCTCTCTCCTGGGTTTTTAGAGATGGTCCCACTGCATATTCTGGGCTGGTGCTGAGCTCACCAAACAGCTCAGGCTGGCCTCAATCCATGGCGATCCTCCTGCGTCAGCCTCCTGAGTGCTGGGCTCACAAGGATGCGGCCACCGCATGGTAGCCCAGTGATGTTAGGTCCCAGTCCTGTTCTCTTGATGCCTGAGGAAGAAGGTGAAGCTTCACTCACTGTGTCCGTCTTCTCTCTCCTGACAGACAATGAGACGCCGAGCCAGGTCTCCCTGCCCAAGACCTCACTGCCCCCAACCCGAGCCACGGCCCCACAGCAGCCTGCAGAGCCGGGGCCCGGGCCGCAGGAGCTGCAGGAGAAGATCCAGGTGCTGGAGGAGCGTGTGCAGCGGCTCACGAGGACGGTGCTGGACCTGCAGAACTCTCTGGTGGGCGTCGCCGGGCACCCGAAGCCCACAGTCCACGATAATGACAATGCCAGCGAGACCCTCGGCACCCGGCTCAGGGATCCTCACCTGTCTCCCACACCCGACCCCGCCGGTCCCAGGGACACGGAGGTGGCCCAGTACCCTGGCATCCTGCCCAGCAAGGAGTCCGGCATGAGGGACATCAAGTCGGAGCTGGCCGAGGTGAAGGACACCCTGAAGACCAAGAGCGACAAGCTGGAGGAGCTGGACGGGAAGGTGCGGGGCTACGAGGGGCAGCTGCGGCAGCTGCAGGAGGCCGCGCAGGGCCCCACAGCCACACTGAGCGCCCCCGAGCTGCTGCAGGCCTATGTGGACGGCAGGCTGGAGGCGCTGCGGGAGGAGCTGCTGGAGGGCATGGACCACAAGCTGGGCGACCTCAAGGACAGCTGCGAGTACAAGCTGGTGGGCCTGCAGCAGCAGTGTGACGACTACGGCAGCAGCTACCTGGGCGTCCTGGAGCTGCTCTCGGAGAAGGAGGCCGGCCTGCGGCGGGAGCTGGGTGACCTCCGCACCCGGCTGCAGGACCCCGCGGCCCGGCCCGGCTGCTGCCCCGGCGGCGCGGATGGCGACTGGGGCCCCCAGATCCGGGTGCTGGACCAGAAGATCGAGCGCGTGGCGGAGGCCACCAGGATGCTGAATGGGCGGCTGGACAACGAGTTCGAGCGCCTGGCGGCCCCAGAAACAGACACGGACTTTGACGCCCGGTGGGAGGAGCTGGATGCCAGGATCAACGTGACGGAGCGGAACGCGGAGGAGCACTGTTTCTACGTGGAGGAGACCCTGCGCGGGGCCATCGACGGCGAGGTCGGGGGCCTGCGGCAGCTGCTAGACCAAAAGATCCACTCCCTGGAGGACAGGCTGGACAGCGTCCTCCTGCAAGCGGCCAATGTTAGTGAGGGCTCGGCGCTGCCTGAGGGGCCCGGCTGGGACGGCGCCCATGTCCTGGCCGAGCTGCAGCGCCTGCAGGAGCAGGTACAGGGGGTGCAGGACGTGTGCCTGCCCCCCGGGGACGGGGACAGGGACAGGGGTGGGGACGGCAGGAGCCTCTGGACAGCAGTCAACGACACGGTGCACCGCAGGTTTCAGGAGGCTGAGCGCGGCATCCGGCAGCTGCAGGAGGACCTTGGCGCCCTGCAGTCTCGACTCAGCCACACGGAGGACAGCGTGAGCCGCCTGCAGAAGGCAGTGGATGACTGCATATCGGGGGTGGGCACTGCGGCCAGCCAGGGGGCTGAGGGCGAGCAGACTGCGCCGGCAGGGACTCTTCTGGCCCCCCAGGAGTCCGGGGCCCCGTGCTGCGCCCAGCTGGAGGACAGGTGGCAGGGGCTGCTGGCCCAGGTGCAGGCTGAGCTGGCCACGTGCAGCCAGCAGGCGCGCGGGGCACAGGGCGGAGTGGCCGCGGTGGAGGGCCGGGTGTCCGTGCTGGAGAGGACGTGCGGCAGGCTGGACGCGGTGGCCAGCAGCCTGCAGAGGATCAAGGAGGGGCTGGGCAAGCACGTGGCCGGGCTGTGGGCCTGCGTCCGGCAGCTGAATGGCACACTTGGAGCGCATGCCAGGGACATCTCCGGCCTGCAGAGCTCCGTGCGGCAGTTCTATAGCCACGTCTTCCAGATCTCCCCGGACCTGCAGGACCTGGTCACCTTCCCGCCGCCAGCGGGTCAGTTGAGTTTCACAATTTTACCTCTTTTTTTTTTTTTTTTTTTTTTTTAAGATAGGGACTTGGTATGTAGTCCAGGCTGGCTGCAAACTCAGGGATCCTCCTGCCTCAGCCTCCGAAGTGCTGGGCTCACAGACGTGGGCCACCATGCCTGGCTCTCATCGTTTTCTGATTTGGGGACCAGCTGGGAAGCACTAAAGGCTTAGAAATCTGCTCTTCCAACACCTACAGCTTTAGGCACAAATCTCTGATAGGCGAAAGGAGGATCCCAGGGAACTGAGCGAGACCCCGACTCCGTGTGGAAATAAACAGAAGGGGCGGGAGGTGGCTCGTAGCCTGGGCTGCGTGAGAGGGAGCGCTGGGGGCCTAGGCTGTGGGCGTGCTCAGGGCAGAGCCTGCGAATTTCCTGACTCTGGAGGCCCCGCTGCAGGGTGAGGGGGGCTGGGCGGGGGAGGGAAGTGCGGGCGGCGCTGCTGCGGTCACGGAGGTCTCCCCCACGTCACGCTCCCAGGAAGGGGCAGCCCTGTCTCGAGGCCACAGCAGCCTTTCGGGATCCTCTGATGACGGCGCGGCTTCCCCTTCCTGCTCCCACTTCCCCTCCTTCTCCTCTGGGGTGACTCCTCCAGGCCGCGAAACTGGTCATCAGGGCTTTTTTGTGTGGGGGGAGGAGCGCTGAGACAGGGTCTCGCTCTGTAGCTCAGGCAGGGACCCTCCCGCCTCAGCCTCCCACGCCACAGCCTGGCATTCGGAGCCGAGCAGCTCTAGCGTGTCCCCATCGAGCCCCGAAGCGCGGAGCAGGACTGGTGCGGGCGCGGCTCCTGGCGTCGCCCTGGAGTCAGCGGTTTGGGGTCGCTGGGCGGGGTTTGCCAAGGCCCCGCCGCTGCCCCACGGCCTGGCTTTGGAATTTGGACCCGGACGGCGGTGGCCCTGCGTCCCGAGGCAGGCGCAGCACCCGCTGGGCCCGGAGCTCCCGGGAGGTGCCATGGTGATTCCAGCGAGCCCCCGACTTGCTGCTAAAGCTGCGCTCAGCCCCCCTGGAACAGAGGGAGCCAGACTTGGCCACAAGGGCCAGAACGGGGAGCCCCTCAGCCTCGCGCTGCACCCCAGCCACCTTCCACCTTTGCTCTGGGCCCCTGCAGGCCCTGACCAACCTGCTGCCCCCGCAGTGCCTGCACACAGGCGCGCTTTGCAGCCGGCGTGGGAATTTCACCCAGAAAACCAAACTTCATGCTGGGATTCGGGGATGGCAAAGCATTTTGTGGCTGGGCATGGTGGTACGTTACTGTGATCCCAGCATTCAGGAGGCTGAAGCAGGAGGATCGCTGTGAGTTCGAGGCCAGCCTAGGCTACATAAAACCAAAACCCAAAACCGAACAAAACTCCCCACCTTCTGGAATGGGGAGTATCTGTTCCTTGGGTGTCTCAGCTCTTGTTGGTTCTGGCACTGCCCACAGCTAAGGGCAGACCTGAGGTGTCCCTGGCCACCCATTCTTCCCTGTACTGTGAACCGGCTGTCAGCCCCAAGCGTGCCTCTCAGGCACGGAGAGCTGGAGCTGTTTGCTCAGAAAAGCCCACCTGCCTCAGCCCACCCTGTGCTGATTTCTCTGGCCCTGGTCCAGACAGTGCATATGGCTCTCAGCCACCTGGCTCCGCCCTCCCCCGCCCAGCCCCAGGTACTGCCAGAAGTTTCAGCCTCAGCCTCAGGCTCAGCCTCAGGGCTGCAGGGGACAGGAATGGGGAGTCACACAGAAGTCTTGGGAATTCGGGGATTCTCAGCATCTTGCTCTGGCGAGGTGGGGCTGGCTGTTAACACCAGTTTTGGATCCGGTTTGGAGGAGCAGATGCAGCCCAGGCCTTGTTTTGTTTGTGTGTGTGTTTCTCCTTGCTTTTTTGAGACAGGATCTCACTGTGTAGCCTAGGCTGGCCTTAAACTTGTGGCGATCCTCCTGCCTCAGACTTCCAAGTGCTGGGTTTCAGGGGGCACTGTCACACACTCTCAAGGTGCTGGGCCCTGCAGCAGCTTGGCTGTCATCTTCACCGCCTTGCACGGCTGTGCCAGGCAGTCTGGTGCTGAGGACCATGTGGCCATCTTCCTGAGCCCCTGGCATGTAGGGAAGGACCCAGGACGCCAGAATTAGAGTTCAGTGCATGGCAGGCAGGCAGCTGCTCGGATGCCACCGTTGCCCTGGAGGGTTCTGGGGGCTCTGCACGGGGGTGGGCCATGGTGCTATCCTGTGACTGTCTTGCCATGGCCTGGGGTACGGGATGTGTTTTGCACTGTGCAGGGCCTATGCCGGGGCCACTGCAGAAAGGTCCTGAGAGGCTGTCCCCAGAGGTGCATGGAGCCCCAAGGTGGCAACTTCCAGCTGACTCGGTTGACCAGTGGGCAGCGATGGGGCACAGAGGATCCCTGTTGGAGTCACTCTGCTCACTGCTGGCCCGAGAAGTGTAGGGGCAGGGACGAGAGCTGCTGCCCACTGGGGTCCATGCCAGCTGTAAGGGCAGCTGTGCTCCAACTCCTGTCTGGGCCCCCGAGCTCAGCTGCCTCAGGCTTCGGGTGGATGTGGTGCAGACATGCAGTGCCATTGGGGATTCCGGGTGCCAGAGTGGGGAGCCCAACCCTTGATGCAGAGGAGGCTGAAGTTCTGGGGACCCAGCTTCCTCAGCAGATGCAGGCAGGCTGTCCCCACGCTGTGCCCCAGGCAGACGGTGTCTTTGGGTGATGTTTTCATGGGAACCTCCTGAGCTGGCAGGTGTCACCAAGGCGGGGACTGGGGCCGGCACCTGGTAACCCTGTGCCTCTGCTTCCTCCACGCAGGTGAAAAGCCCTCTGCAGTGTCCCCCAGCCTCGAGACCCTGCAGGTGCCAGCTGAGGCCACTGATGCTGTGCCCCAGCCTGAGCCAAGCCTGGCTCCCCCCGAGGATACTGCACGACAGTGGCCCACAGACCAGCGGCCAGGGCTACCCAAGCGACCCCTGGCACCATGGCCCCCGGAGCAGCCACTGCCTGCACCATTTGGGCCTGGCTGGACGGGACCACCCCTGCTGCCAGGCGCCACAGGGGTGGTGATGGAGACAGGCGAGGCTGGGCCCCCAGGCAGGAAGGCTGTGTGGGGCAAGGGCCTGCTTCGGGGTGTGGATGGGCAGAGCGGGCGCCGGCCCGAGCCCAGCGCCGAGGGCTACGCAGGCGCCCCAGGTAAGCATCCAGGGGACAGTTGGGGGCCACTAAGGTGCTGGAGTGGCTGGGGTTGGCACCATAATGCCCTCCTGGCAGCAGTGGCCAGGGGCACTGTGGCCACGTCCCCGAGGACCTCTTCGGTGCAGGTCTGTCCCGGGACTGGGTCCAACAAGGATGAGGGACAGACAGCAGGGCTGGGTGCTCCTGGGGATGACAACGGAAAATGGCAGGGGCAGCTGGGGTGTGAGCCAGCACTTCCCTGATGTTCCTAATCGAGCCCACACAGGAGCCCACCCTATGCAGGGCTGTGGTGTTAGGGGCCATGGGCTGAGGTGGCTCAGGCACCCCAGGGAACCCCTCAGGAGCCAGGTCCTGCAGGGCTGGGGTCAGTGCCTCCTGTAGCAGCTGTGCCCAGGACGGACACCCCGGGGCTGCCTGGCCAGCTGCATCACTGTGGAGACCAGAGCTGGTAGCACCAGGGTTCCTGGCCAGCTGTTTAGTTTAATTTTTGGTGGTCCCGGGGATGGAACCCAGGGTGTTTGCGCTGAGCTATATCCCCAGCGCTTTAGTTTGCATTTGTATTTTGGGACAGGGTCTCTGCTAAGTCCCTAGGTTGTGCAGGTGTTCCTCCTGCCTCAGCTTCCCAAGGCCAGGCTTACAGCGGCCTCTGCCTCCCCACCGCTCTGCACTGTGGAGTTGCGCTCTGCCCCGTACCACATCTGCTACTTAAGTCTCACAGGCTCACGGGGCTGGGCTGCCGTCTCCGATGGATGTTGCTGACACCCCTCTCTTTCCAGGGTACCCCCAGACGCCACCTGTAGCCGCCCCAGGTAGGTGTGTGGTGCCAGGCAGGGCCGGGGTGCAGCCTGGGCTTCCTGTCTTCCATTGTCCCACTCCATGTCCCTGGCTGAGTGCTGGGTGCTGTGGTCCTGACAGCCCTGAGGGCTAGGATTCCAGGGCTCACCCAGGTGACACACCCAGTGTCACACCCCCGCCTCGCTGGGTTTTTAGTTACTTATTTTTGGAGACAGGATTTCTACTGTGTAGGTCAGGCTGGCCTTGAACTCATGACCCTCCTGCCCAAGTGCTGGGATTCCAGGTGCGGGTTACCTCACCCAGCCTCACCTCTTAGTCCCTCAAAGCCTCGCAGTCCCCACGTCCCCTGGGGTGAGACGTAGTTTGTCTCTGTGTTGGGGGGCTTTGCCGCGGGCTCACTGAGCTGGCCCCTCCCCCAGGGCTCCTGGTGCCTGGCCTGGTGTCCTTCTCTGCTGGACTCACACAGAAGCCGTTCCACAGCGACGGGGGCGTCGTCCTCTTTAACAAGGTGCTGGTGAACGACGGCGACGTCTACGACCCTAGCACCGGTGAGCGGCTGCACCCGGCCTGACCTGGGCTCTCCCTGCTGTGGCGCTGGTGGCCCCAGTCTCCGCCCGGGCACAGCCCCCAGAAACCAGAGCTGGCTGGTTTCTCTCTGGGTGGCTCAGCCACTCACTCGGGCGGAACTTTCTGCTGCCCGGGCGCATGGAGGGAGCGGTGATCTGGCTTGGTCATGGCCACGTGGGCACCTCGGCCGGACACGGCACGAGACGCCTTGGTGACCCGTCCTCTCGATGGATGCAGGGCTGCGGCCAGAGCCGTAATGGCTGCCTCCTTTGCTGGGACCCGGGCCAGGGCGGGGTCCTGGGGCTCCCAGGTCACCAGGGCTGGGGTGGAGCTGCGGCAGGAAGGCGCTGCACGAGGCTCTGGGCGCCCTTTCCGAGGTTCCCGTACAATCTACGCGTCCCAGCAGAGGGTGCCGGGTTCCCAGGGCGCAGCCGCCGAGGAAGGCAGCGTCAGGCCAAGCTGCCTCCCACTTCTGTAGGGCTCGAACTCACGGCCTCCTCCCCGCAGGCGTCTTCACGGCCCCTTACGACGGGCGCTATCTGATCACGGCCACGCTGACGCCCGAGCGCGACGCCTACGTGGAGGCGGTGCTGTCGGTGGCCAACGCCAGCGTGGCGCAGCTGCACACGGCCGGATACAGGCGCGAGCTGCTGGAGGTGCACCGGCCGCGGGGGGCGCACACCTGCGGGGGCCCCGGCGCCTTCCAGCTAGTCGTGCACCTCAAGGCAGGCGACGGCGTCAACGTTGTGGTGACGGGCGGCCGGCTGGCGCACACGGACTCGGACGAGATGTACTCCACCTTCAGCGGGGTGTTCCTGTACCCCTTCCTCGGCCGCCTCTAGGGCGCAGGCCCCTGACTCCGTGGGTTCTGTCAGGGTGCGGACTGGAGGGCAGAGTCAGGAGCTGCGCCTGTCCTCCGCACTGGAACGGGACGAGGAGGCCCGAAGCGCCCTGTGCCCTGTGCCTCGCTCGCCCCGTCCAGGGGTCCTGGGCGCCGGCCTTCGCTGGAGCTCCAGGCGCACAGCGCGGACCCACACCGCAGGGAGGAAGTCCAGACACTGAAGATGCCCGGCCACCGAACCCGAGCGTCCAGCGCGGGTCCTCACAAGGGCGCAGGGCCGGCCGGGATGGGGACACAGCAGACACTATCCATGCTAAAGCTTGCCGGGCTCCTGGGATGACTGTGCGACCTAAGCGCCAAGACTGGGAGTGTCAATAAAGGTGTCAGCCCTCGCTCCTCCCTGCCCTGGTTCCTCGTGGCTGAGGTGACGTTTCTGAGGGTCACAGAACCTTGTCTTGCGCGAACTAACCGTGGCCAGGAAACTGCTTGTGCTAAGGGGCCAGGCAGGGCTGATGGGCCCGAGGGCGCGCTTCGCTGACCCGCGCCAGCAGATGCAGCTTCACAGATGGGGCTCTGAGTAGCGAGAGGCCCAAGCCCGCTGGGGCTGCACGCGGCTCCTCGGCGGGCAGCCTCCCTGCCCCAGATCCTGCCCGGCACGGGACTGGCGCGAAGGGGCCATGGGGGAAGGGCAGCCTGAGAAGGTGCGCTGGGAGAACCGGACTCAGCATCCTAGGTGGCACCCGCCCCGCAGGGAGGCCCCGTCTCCTGGAAAGGGGGTCACAGGGCCACACACCCCTCGAGCTCTCACCCCTGCCCTGAGCGGAAGTGGCGAGACCTAGGTTTGTGCTGCACCATTTTAAAGCTGAGGCCTATTGGTCCAAGCATTGCAGAGACAGTGACATCCCTGGCCTGGTGCCTGGGGTAGTAAGTGGCCAGAGGTCGCCACAGCGTCCTGGCTGTCCTAGAGGTGACTCATGGAAAAACCCAGACAGCAGTGTTTTCAGGAAAGCCCAGTTGGCACTCACACATATCTCCTACCTCTTCCCTGTGCCCGGTGCCAAAGAGGGCAGATGCTCCAGGGCTGGGCTTCCAGGAGCAGGCTGCCCAGGAAAGTCGGCCCCTCCCTTGGGGCCTCTTGTTTTGTGGAGTTGGGATTAAAACCAGATGAGCTGACTACAGGTGCACACCATGTCCGACCTCTGTAGTCAGGGCTCGGGGGAGACGAGGGGATGCTCACATGGCCAGAACGCCCCCTTCCCACATGGTGCACTGCCCACGGCCGCCTTCAGATGGCGAAAAACTCGCCCAAGCGATACTGGCAGGAACTGACCCGGACACCACACTATGGCAGAGATGACCTCCGGATGGGCAGGAGAAGCTCCCAGGGCACTGTCTTAGGGCTGTGGGTTATTCCCAGGTTCCCACAGGAGGAGTATCTGTGCCCCAGGCACCCAGACCCCTGCCTGCTGGCCTGAGGCAGGGTTTCATCCGATTTCTGCATGTACACTCCACTGTCCTGCACTGGGAAGGGGGGCATAGCAGACTTGGGGTGCTGCCCCTTGGGGATCAGGTCCGCTGCCTCAGTCGGGCGTCCGCCCGCATGCATAACCAGAATCCACCTTCTGTCACTGCCCTCGCAACAGTAGCAGCAGAGAGGATGCAGGGCCTCCCCCATGAGCCGGCACATGCTGGGGATGTGGGCATGGACCACAAAGCTCTGAGAACACTCTGAAGGGGAGCTGGCGGGACCCAGGGCACCCTGTGGGGTGAGGCAGGGTGGGGTGGCAGCAGCCCCCAGGCTGGGGCTCCCTAGGCACTGCTCAGCCACGCTCTCTGGAACCTGTCTTCTAAAACAAGCCCGAGTCAAGTCCTTCCCACGGATTTGTTTCGGGCAGCAAAGGTCAGACGCTGGTTTACGGAAAGCATCGCTTTCTGGTTGGGTACAGAGATGGTTTTAATGTCCCTGGAAGAAAGAGCCAAACCGCTCTGCTTTATGCTTTATTGTTGTAACGTTTTGTTTTGAACATCAAACACTGCATCAGAGTACCAGCCACTCATCTAGAGATGTCTGCCACAGCTCAGAGGATGGCGCTGACTTACCGATGAACTGACAACTACTAGTGACACTGCTACCTGCAGCCGGGCTTATCGCCAGCTGGCTGGGTTCCTATGTGGGGAAGAATGGCATCCTCGCCACCTTCAGGCCACGTCGGGAGCCCCTCCTGCCTGGGAAGGACGCTTACTCTAACCCAACTCAGAATGTAGCCTCCCGCAAGCTCATCCCAGAGGACAGGGCAGGGGATGCCAGAGAGGGCCGCAGCGCACCCCTAACCGTTATGTGGGGCAGCGGCTGGTGCTGGGGACAGCCCCGTAGCATGCTCAAGGTCAACAGTGCTGATGCTGGGCCGGGCTCTGCAGCCAGTGGCCCGGAGGCAGGAAGGGGTCTCCCCAGGGGCGCACCTGGCACTGGAAGACAGCGGTGACCCTGCCTCACCCGGAGGGTCGTGTGCAAATACATGGGGCATCTCTCTTTCACAGAAAGAACGAATGTCATTTGTACCAAATGGCAATGGGCTTCCGGCTCAGACCTAGGCTCCGCCCCACCACAGCACGGCTTGGCATCGGCCTGTGTCCCCTCTGCAGTGCCTGACCACATTGGGGCTGCTGACACAGGGACACGTGGAGTCCAGCCCCCAGCCAGGCGTTCTGGGAGGCCCCGTGTCTGAGAAGTGTTGTGGGGAATGGGGACAAACTACCCAGGCAGAAGTGCAGAGGAGCCTTGAGGGCACAGGGACCACAGGGGCTTGAGGCTGCCCCTCAGCAGGGGAAGCAGGGTTGTGCCCTCCAGGTCTCCAGTGTTCCCTCCGTCTCACTTTGGGAGAACATGAACTCAAGCCCCCATGTGACTGTGTGGACACTGACTGGGTCCTTGCCTTCCATGGCCTGCAGGGCAGAACCAGGCCCCAGGCTGCGGGGGATCCCCTCAGCCCCCCTCAAGCAGCCTCCTGGCCATGACTGCCACAGGGAGCATCACCAGTGCTGCTCGATCTGGTGTCCAACACGAGCTTGTCAGGGCCACGCTACCTGTGCTACAGTGACCACAATGGCTGTGTCCCTGCAGGTCTCAATAGGCCCCCTGACCTCACATGCAGAACTGGTGCTGCTGGCCCTGAAGCCAGTGCCACCCTGCTCCTGGTGAGCCGGAAGCACAGAGGACTGGAAGTCCTGTTGCTCAGCAAGACCCAAGGGCCCCTGAGGCAGCCCCAGCGTGGAGCAGGATAAAGGCCTGGCCTCCTGGGATGCCCTCAGCTGTGCCGCTCTCCCTGCACGTGGCTCTACAGAGTAACCAGTGTGTGCAAAGAGGGCTCTCCCCCTGGGACTGGATGGTCTGGCGGCCCAGGCTGGGGTAGAAGGGCAGGCGGGCTCATGGGGCACAGGGCCGAGGAGCTCCGTGCTGCACCCCTGTCTGCTGCAGGGCTCCTGTGCCTCCTGTTCAGTCCTGTAGCTCAGGGCATGGTGAGCCCTCCCTCCTCCTCTTCCTCTTCCTCCTCCTCCTCCTCCTCCAGGGTACAAGGCAGAGGGTAGGTGGGCGGCTGTGGGCCAGCCTCAGGCCAGGTTGTCCAGGTCCACGGCAGGGATGGGGTCCCTCCAGTAGCAGAAGGAGCTGAATTCGGGGCACGGGAAGGCAGAGTTCTGCTCCTTGCTGAGTAGTGGGAACACGTGCTCCACCAGCTCACTGAGCCTGTGGTACCTGGAGGACGCACAGGAGTTACCCTCCTTGCAGACGGCAGGGACAGCTGCCCCTGTTTAGCCCTTGGGCGGCCCACACCCCACATCCCGAGGCAAACTCACGAGGACTTGTTCCCTTTGGTCCTTTCTTGGATCAGCTCTCCCTTGGGGTTCACGGTGAAGATCCTGCAGTCCGGGACGCCGACCTGTGTGTAGGCATAGACGTCCTGCAGGAGAGACCAGAAGTGAGCCCCACACAGGCTCATCGGACGGAAGACTTCACAGGGACCACGAGCATGGGGACTGCAGTTCTGCCCACAACTGAGAGGCCTCAGGATGCTGGAATGGGGGGAGCCAGCAGCTGAGAGAAGCCTGAACCTACAATATGACCCAGAGGGGGAACCGTGTTTCAGCCTGGATTTGGGGTTCTCCAAGGCCACAGCTTAGAACCTGGGGCGGAGTCTGGCATGGTTATCCATCCCAGCTCTCTGGGAGGCCAAGGCAGGATTCTAACCCAAACCCTGGCTGGGCAGTTTGGAGACCTTGTCTCCAAACGAGCAACAAGGGCTGGGGACACAGCACAGCACAAGGGCTCTGGGTTCAGTCCTTGTTAGGACAAAACAAAATCCTGCAAGGCAAAGCCGGAGTCGTGGATTGGGTGGGCACCGTGTAGCTCTGGGGCAGATCCGGCCCTGTGGCTTCCCCTGTAGCGTGGTGACAGCCAAGTGTATGGGTGCAGGGGGGACCCATGGACTCCGCCGCAGTTGGGGCCAGCACACTCACGTTGGGGCGGTTCCCAAAGGCGGCGTAGAAGGGCTGCTTGGTGGGGGCAAACAGGTTTTTGATGTCATTCAGACACTCGATTTTGAACTTCTCTGGTTTCTTTTCTATCACTTCCCTGAGAAGGTCACCAAGGCCAGCAGTTAGTGTCAGCGCCTGTGGAAGGGGGTGGGGGGCTGCCTCCTTCCCGCCCGCCTGGAGGCACCTGTGGAAGGCGGAGAACAGGCTGCTGGGTGACAGCATGAGGGGGCCCCGTGGCAGGATAGTGCCCTTGTCGTTGACCCAGTGCAGGTAGCCTCGGGTCATGTCGGCCATACCGATCGCGCGGGCGGAGCAGTACAGGAACTTGTAGCCGTTCCTGGGGGACAAGGGACATGCAGTTCACTCCCTGTGCTATAGACAGGAAACGAACCTCGCAGCTTTCCATCCAAAAGATGCCAACTATTCCTCCAGACATGAAAAGCAATCTCTGAGCTCTGAAGGCAGCCGGCCAGCTCACAGATTCCCCCCAAGTATGGACACAGGCTGTGAAAAACGGGGCTTGACGGGGGGGGGGGGGGTCGTCCTTTCCCCAGCAGGAGAGGTGAGGGTCCTGTCACAGGGACACGGACTGGCCCATTTCAAACTGGACCTCAAAGGCCAGGCAGTCACCTTGAGGATGTTCCTGGGCCCCCTGCGCCCACACCACCTGCTTAGGGACATGGAATTTTAAAACACCCAGGAAAGGAACCAGATCATCGGCTGTCCTGATAGATCCCAGGTGAAGGACACAGTCATGAGGATGACACCAGGAGAGGTGGTGGCCCAGGTCACCAGGATAGCGGGCGTCACTTCACACATGGTAGGGAGCGTGGGACTCTGTGTCAGGAACGCATGGCACACGGGTGAGGACAGCTGCAGTGGGAACTCACTCGTTGATGGAGTGGTAGAGCTTTGCGATGCCCTGGTGTGTCCAGTCTTTCCCCAGCTGCGGGAGGATCTGGCCCAAAGCGTCAGACCTGGGGTGGGGGCAGTCAGGAGGCTGAGCCCAGTGGCTGGGAGCTCTACAATGCAGGGCAGCCAGCCTGGCCAGCAGGGATTGAGGTGACCAACAGCTGCGCCCTCTTCTTCCAAAATTCTGTGGCCTGCTTAAGGCCAGGATTCGGAGGCCGAGTGACCTCATCTTTCCAAAGCTGCCCACTGTGACTGCTGCACTCAGGGAATGCTGGGGTGCAGCGGCATGGAGAAACCCCCCACCCTGTGCACAAACGGTACAGGCCGCACTCACTTGGTTATTGTGCCGTCGATGTCAGAGATGATGACCTTGTCGTTCCAGTCCCACAGGTAAATGGTCCCCGCGCAGCGGCAGGTGCCCTGGTACTGGGTGGTGATGCTGAACACAACATCATTGGGGCCATCGTGCAGCTGCAGCTTCGCCTTTACAGAAAGCACCAGGGTACAGATGAGCGGAGGACTGGGCTTAGGACAGGGCTCAGCCCCGAGAAGGGGTCCTGGCTGTGTAGTCTGGGCTTCCTAGGGCTGCTGTGACCCCCCGCATAGCCGCCCCACTACCTTCCTGGCAGGACCCCCCTCCCCCAGCGCCCGCAGCCCAGGCCAGCAGGTGCCCTTGGAGCAAAGGAGGTGCCTCCCTTGCCTGCCGGGCCTGGGATGCTCAGCAGCATGGAACGAGTCCTGCTGGGGGTTGGCTGGGCTCTGACTGGGTTGGGGACTGAGCACAGCAGTGGCAGCAGATGGAATGGTGTCCCTGGCGCCCCGAGTCCCAGGACTCACAATCTGGTCTGAGGAGAGCCGCAGTGACTTCTTGTACGAGGGGCTGCTGCCATGGCTCAGGGCCTCTGTGGGTAGGGGCTCCACAGCAATGGACTCCTCGAGCTCCTGGGAGCCCTCATCACTCGACGTGTCATCCTCTGTCAGTCTAGCGAACACCAAGCCGTCACTGCCCAGCTTTTCACACAGGCCCTTGGTGCTGCCATTGAGGCCCAGAGTGTACCACCGCCGGGCTCTAGTGCATGTGGCTCCTGGGCTACACGGATCAGAGCTACTCGGCCCCTTCAGCCCCGCCCCAGCTGTGCACAGGGACATAAAAATGGCTCGGGCCAGTCCTCTTCTGTCACCCTGGTCAATGCTATTAGCAAGGGTATGTATATTTCCATAGGTACAAATGAAAAATAGCATCAATGTTGCTGGCTTCTAAAAAGCTGTGAGAAATGCTTCACACGGCCTTTCCAGGTGACACCGAGATCCAAGGAGTTAAACTCCTGGGCCAGACACTATGGCGCATGTGTGGGGACAGAAGTTGATGGCCCACACCAGGGCAGGAGCCAGGGCAGCCCGAGCCATGGCCTTCAGTCGCCACTCGGTGTCAGAGGACGATGACGCGCCCCTGACTGACCCCAATCCGAGGTCCCCCTTATGCCGCCCTTGCTGGGGACAAGGCTCCCCGACATGAGGGATTCAAGAGTGCCATGGCCCCAGCCCTCACCCCATGCCCTGGGGTGTGGCATGGGCTCCCAGGGGCAGGGAAGCAAGTACCCAGCCCTGTGCTGAGGACCGTCCCTGAGGAGGGAATGACGGCCACCAAATGCTGCATCTGTCTAAGGACAGAGACGCTGCTACCTAAAGCTGAACCCGTCAACTGCTGTGACAGCCAAGCAGCACGACGAGTGGAACAGAGGGGAGGGTGGACAGGGACAGGGCCCACCTGGCACTGGCCGGCTCCATGGCACTGGCCACAGGTACCTCCGACTTCCCCTCCTTGGCCTCTGGCAGCTGGAAGAGAAAGATGAGAGTGGTGGTGTTCAAGCCCCTCCACCAGTGTCCTCAGGTGGGCACAGGACCCCAACTGCAAGGGGACTCAGGAGCCCCAGGATGGGCCCAAGGGTCACACACTGCCATGGCTGTTGGGTGAGCACCACCCAACAGCCAGAAGCAGCTGGGCTCAGGTCCCAAGCAGAGGCGACCCCACCCTGGGGGGCTCAGCACCAGCCAGAGCAGGGACTACGCCTGATGATGACAGGGTCACTTCAGCAACTCGCTCAGAAATGGTGACCATCGCCCATGGCAAAGAGCCCAACCGAGAGGGTTGGGGTGAGACCAAAGAGGCCCGTCTCCAGCCCGTGGGCCCCCCAGCCTCCCGGTCTGTTACCTGCTTGGTCATGCTTTCCCGCTTCCGCCAAAACCACCAGCGCCCAGACTTCTTTGGCATCTTGTCCTTGACCCAGGACTCCACAGTGGCCTGGAAACACTAATGTGGTCAGTTTGGGGCTGTTGGGTGGCTAGCACTCCCCTCCCTAGTCATGCCAAGATTGGAAAGAAACCTAAGGAAGAGGAGCCACACTTCTCCACCCCCTTCACCCTACAGGGACGGGAGAAGAGCTCTGCAGCTGCCACCTCCTCCCCAGGCCTGAGTGTGATGGCCCTGTTCCAGCACCAAGCTGCTCCCCACTCCCAACCTCTGTGCTTTCACACACAGCCTTAGTCAGTGCAAGTAACAGGAAATACAGCACAGCTACCTAGCAGACTGGGCGTGAAGCACCGTGGGGGCCACCTGCAGCAACGCTGAACCCTACCCTGCCAGAGGAGCACCAGCACCCACTGAGGGGCACACTGGGGAGTTCTGCTCAGTAGGTGGGCGGCTGGCTCACCTTAGGGAGACTCTTCTGGAAAACCTGCAGGCTGAGGATCATAGGCGCGGCCAGGGCCCAGTTATAGTAGCTATGAAATGAAAATTGTGCAAAACCATTACACAACGATGGTGGGAGCCACGTGGGGCAGGCAGGCTGGGGAGTGGGGAAGAGGGCCAGAGGAGGGACAGAAGGAGCACCTCGCACTGCCCCCACTTTCCCATAAAAGCACAACTGGCCGCATCTCTCTCACACCAGAGTCCCTGCTACAACGCCAACTGGGACAGAGGTAGAGAGATCCGCAAGCAGCAGTGCCTCGTTTAAAACGAAGCTGAGGCTTCGCCTTCAAAGTCCTGGCCCCCCTGCTCAAGTGTGAGGGGACAGATGGCACAGCGCGAGGAGGTGTGATGGTGACAACAGCACTTGTACAGAAAACTGCAGGAACACCCGCAGTGCGCAGAGCAGGGGACTTGCCGGTTATAAATCCGTATGACAAGGTTCGGATTGTCTATCAGCCCCGGGTTTTCCGCAAACTCATGGTAAGTGATGATGTGCTCCATGAATCTCTCTGCAAGGTGAATGACTATGATCAGTTTGGTTAGGGAGCTCAGACACTCCTGTACCAGATTATCACAGCATTTGACACTGCAGGAATTGTAGGCTAAAATAAGTCCTTTCAAAACAAACTAAATTAGGGGGGGAACCAGGAATTAAACTCAGGCCCTCACCCTTGCCAGCCAGGCACTGTGCTACTGAGTTATATCCCTGCCCAAAATAACTAATCTTCTTTCTTTTCGGTACTGGGAATGGAACTCACATCCTCACATTTGCCAGGCAGGCACCTGTGCTGCTAAGCTGTATCCCCAGCCCCTATAAAAAAAGCTAATCTGAACGCCAAAATGTCAGTGCCCCCCCATAAAAAGAACAGCTTTGTCTGCTTCCCCCAGCTAAAGAAACTAACCAACTAACCTGAGCCTACTAACCCAAACAACAGGACAAAGCCTGCTGGAGACTTAGAAAATCCATCACAGCAGGTGAGGGGTGAGGGGGAAAGCAACGGGCACGTTCCCTGTGACTCTGCAAAGCGCAGCTCCGTGCTGAGCAGAGGGCGCTGACCTCACTGCCTGGGCTGTGGGGAGCATATGACACCCCCCCTCCCCAGGACCAGAACTCATGGCAGGCATGGCGAGCACTCCCAGGGCCCGAGCCTGCCCTGCAGCAGCGCAGACCCTCACATCTGGTCCTTGGGGATTGTTTCTTTTATGAGAAACTCTTATCATTTTCTATTTTATTCCAATTTTGTCTTTTCCGCCCTCTCATAGCAATGTTTAAACCAAGGGTCTAGGACAGGGGTTTTGCAGAGGTGGCAGATGTAGATGTGGGATGCTGGGATTCAGGGCATGTGATTGGCTCACTGGTTTGGCACCGCCTCAATCCCAGCAGCCAAAATTGAGCATAAAAGGGGCAGAGACACGCTGCGTACGTTCCTTGCTTTTGCTGTCATTTGTCATTCTGCCTGGGAGCTAGCCAATGACTTCCTGAAACCACCAAGAACTGTGAGCCAAATAAACTTCTCTTATAACTTCGGGTGTTGGGTATTTTATCTCAGCAATGAGAGAAAAGTAGTGAAGACAGAGGATCATTAAAAAGAATGTGGCTGATTTAATTCTGTTCCCAGAAGGAACTGGCGGCCACAGAATACCATTAATTTCTGTAAGATGAAAGCAGAGATGTGAAGAAGGCCGAACTGTGGGAGCAGGGTGGGGGACTTTGGCCCTCCAGTGCCATGCCGTGCCAGGCATGCAGACTGGGGTGGGGGGACACAGAAAGGGCGCTGGGGGTGGTGCTGGCCTGGAGCAGTCAGCCACTGCCAAATAGGGGAGATGTGGAGTTCAGGTAATACCCACGGGGACAGGCAGGCAGGGCTACCCCAAGGCCCCCAACCCTCCAGCTCTGCAGGGTTCCTTCCCTGCTTGGGCGGCTTGTTCTGTCTGGAGCTGAGACAGAAAGGCCAGGGACCGGGGCCGTTGGCTTCCTGGCCGCTGAGCACTGCCCTGAGGGCCTTCCCACAGGGCATGGACCCCAGGCCTACAGAGGCTTCAGCTCTTGCCCAGGAACGCAGCAGGTAGGTTCGAGGACGCCTCCCTCACCTCCCTGTCACAGGAAGAGACTTGCTCACATGAGCTCCCTGAAGCTTGCATCCTTTCATGGGGATCCCTTCGTGGGCTCTTCAGCCTGTGCACAGGCTGCTGTGTGTACCTTTAGAAATTTCCCCATTGTCACTGAGGCCTCCGCAGAGGGACAGGGTGACGTCGGGCAGGTCCATGGCAGAGTCCGAGAGGCACTCCGTGCCGCTGTCCGCGGCCGCACTGCCCACCGACTGCGGGGACTGGGAGCCAGAAAACGTGTCGCACTCAGGCCACTGCCTGGAGCCGGGTTCTGTTTCGCTGTGCAGACACAGGGGAAGCTCTGTTAGGCAGCGGTTCATGCACCGGCTGGCGGGGCACGGGCAGCAGGGCTCCCCAAAGGAAGGGGGTGATGGGGTCGGGAATGTATGTGTGCAGGGTCACGGGATGTAGACAGCAACGTGCTGGGGAGGCAGCTGGGACTACAGTACCCCTCGCTGAGTCACCATGACACAAACTGGTCAACTGCGGCTTTTAGGATTTAATGACAGGCGCAGTAGTGCAGGCACTTATCTACATTTCTATGACCTGCCCCAGCTCCCGGGGTGGGGGTGGGGGGACCCCTAGTGCACACACAGCAGGGAGAGGGTTGGTCCTGGCTGGGCTGGCTCAGAAGCATCTCCAGAGTCCCCCTTCCTCCAACACAGCTGGGGCAGCGATGGAGCCTATGGCAGCTCCGCCCGTCCAGAAAGGACAGGGCAGGAGGGAGAGGCGGAAAGAACATCTTCCTTCTGGCAGGAGGCCTCAAACCAAAGATGCGGCTCCTCAGCACTGTGTTTCTAGATACAGCAGGGAAGCCAGGCTCCAGAAGGTGACCAGAATGGAAACCTTTGGTACCAGAGCATGAATTTTGTGACAGGGTATTGATATGTAGTACAGGCTAGACGTGAAGTCACTACGTAATCCACGCTGGCCTCAATTTTGTGGCCTCAGGCTCCCAACTACTGGGACTGCAGGCATGTGCCACTGCGCTCAGCACGGAGCATAAATTTGAAAGAAAAATGGCCCTTGTGTTTCCTAGTCATGAATGTTTACTATTCCACATCTTTGAATAGGTATTTAATGTCATACTTACCATACTGCTATAAAACTTGAAGTGTACTATATTTAAAAAGCCAGTATTTTTAATGTTTGTTTAAAAGAATTATATATAAGATCTGATGAAATTACAAAATCTTTTGAAAACAATCTCAAAGTTGAGTAGTTAAGCGCGAGTATAGATGTACTATGAATAGGAAGCAGTTTCAAAAAGACTAGCGCCCGAGTGTGCACCAAGAGAAAGCTGGTTGGGAAGAAACCTCCAAAACAGCAGCAAAAAGCGGGATGCACGGCCCAACACATGGCCTCACGGGCCCAGAGCCCAGCCAACGCTGAGTAGAGATCAGCAAGCCCGGGGTCAGGCCAGGTGAGATGCAGGGTCAGGCTAGGAACGACACCGACCCCAACACCTGGGTCACTGTCACCAAACCTGGGAACCCACAGGGACTCCTGTGGATCAAGAAGCAAGATCCAACAGTATACTACACACAAGAAACACCTTCAATTCAAAAAGAGATTCAAAGACTCAAAGTTATAGGACGGAAAACAATACTTCATGTGACAGGAACCTGAAAAAAGGCAAGGGTAGCTATTCTATTTGCAGACAAAGTGAATTTCTATCCAAGACTGATTATGAGAGACAAAGAAAGTCACTACATCCTGGTAAAGGGAAGAATCCGCGAGAAAGAGATAACAATTATAAATATATATGCACCAAATACCAGTGTACCCAAGTATATAAAAAAATTTAGACATAAAAAAAAATCAAACAAGTGTGAATATAATGGTAATAGACCTCGGTATCCCACTGTCACAAATAGATCAAACAAAAAAATCAGCGATGTCAGAACTGAACCAACCTCTGAACAAATGGACTTAGTAGATTTCTAGAGAGCGTTTCACTCTGTACAGCATCAGACTACATATTCTCCTCAGCCACACACAGGGCATTTTCCAAAAGCAGACTACATACTAACTCACAGAACAAGCTTAAGTAAATGCAAAGAAACTAAAATGATCCCATGCATATTATCAGACCACAGTACAAAGAAACTTGAAATCAATAGCAAAAGAAACTGTAAGAACTTTATAAACATAAGGAAATTAAGTAACATTTCTCTGAACAACTAATGAGTCACAAATGAAGTTAAAGAAGAAATTAGACAATTTATACAATTAAACAATAATACCAACAAAATATACTGGAACCTATGGAACACAATGAAAACAGTCCTCCAAGGGAAATTTATAGTGGTGAATATCAGTATCAAGCAAACAGAATAAATTCAACTAAACAAGCTAATGTTGAACCTCAAGCTTCTAGCAAAAGAACAACAGGTTAAGCTCAAAGCTTGAACAAGGAAGGAAATTATAAAGATCAGAGCAGAAATTAATGCAATGGAGACTAAGGACACAATACAATCAATGAATTGAAGAGCTGGTTCTTTGTAAGGTTAAATGTGGAAGATGGCGGAGTGCTAACCAGTGAAGAAAGAGTTTCTCTGAGTCATTGTCCAGACACTGGACTGTAGCCACACAGGGAAGAGAAAGAGGGAACTGGCCCGCCTGGAGCCAGGAAGGACCTGCAGTGAGAACTGAAGCCCACGGGGAGAGGGAAGAGAGACACTTCAGTGTGGGCAGAGGAGGTGGCCAGCACAGCCCTGTCCTCAAGTCAGGGCTCCCTGCCTGGGAGGAGCCATTCAAATATGCTGACAGCCCCAGAGGCCTTCCTGTAGAGACAGCAGGGGAGGGGAGCAGGGAACTGCACTGGCTGGTGGCTGTGTTTGATGCTACTGTTGCTGCAGATTGGACCACTTTAGCCAAAGTGACCCAACTGCTCTAACCAGCTGTTCTTCCTGGTACACCAACCCTGGCACTGCCTAAGGGTCACAGAAAATACTGTGGGCCAGGGCCAAAGAACCAGAGGCTGGGCCAAGCAGGCAGCAACTTCGCAGCCCCAGTAAGCTGAAGAGGCAGGATTCTGCCAACAGACTCAAAATCCAAAAGCCGACTACACCTGGAAGACGCCTCTGAGAAGCAGTCATTTCATAGGTTTAAAATACTGGCAATAAAGTAACTCACCATAGCCAATTTACAAGCATCAACCCATAAATTAAACAAACAAAAAAAACCTATAAAAAATTGGAATAGATAAAACAAACGCAACCATACCCTAAGAACTGACATTCTGAATAGGTATGGATCACCTGATGAAGTCCCTACAGGAAAAGCCACTGCACCGTCAGCAGGTCTGCATGCTGTGTGACTCCCTTCCCCATCTGACCCTGATTTGGCCAGTTTTACCTGAACCATTAACCTTACTGGTTGGCCATGGTTCTGTCCCACCTTGTGCCCATCTGCCTTGCAAGATCCCAGGTTTTCCCCATCTTGGACCCATCTCACTTTAGGGTTTTGCTCTGTAAGTCTCTAGAAAAGAAAGTCCTTGGCATTCTACTCAGGACCCCATCTGTCTTTCCTTCTCTCAATAAATATATTATGCTGTTAAAAAAAATTGGAATAGATTGTCTTTATCTTAATCTGATAAAAGCCATCTATGACAAACCAACAGCCAACACCATACTAAATGAACAAAAACTGAAAACTTTCACTCTAAACTCAGAAGACTAGGATGACCACTGTCACCACTCTTAGTATAGTCCAGGAAACTTCAACCAGAGCAATTAGACAAGAGAAAGAAAAAAAATAGAAGTAACAAAGGAGGTTAAATTATCACTTTTCGTGGGGGACATGATACTCTACATAGAAGGCTTCCAAACTCCCCCATAAGATGCTTAGATTTGTTTTAATTTTCCTATTACAAAAATCTAACGGTTTCTCACCTTTAATAATCCCATTACTTCAAATGAAATATGTAATCTATTTTGAGAAAAGTTTAAGGTACAGAGCTAGAAAGGAATTTTAAGAAACTTTCCAAATATGTTGAAAATGTCAACGCTCATGTTGATCCTGCTCTTAGATTCTGAGTGAAGTCGATATGCGCTTTTCAGGGTTTCATTCAGACGTGGTTAAACATGTGGCTTGGCAGAGCTGTCCTCTCTGCAGAGTAAGCCGGGCAGTTCAGGGCAGACACACCGTGAACCCCCGTGAGGCTGGAATGCTCGCAGGAGATGGTTCCTGGGCTCATACTTGAGACCCAGGTTTGAGTCGCTCTAAGGGGAAGATCCTGCAGGACTGGGAGGGCGCTGGTGTGACCCCTCTGTGGGAGCACGGCCAGAACAGTCTCAGCAGCCCAGGCCTGGGGTCTCAGACCTCCTGGGAGGGAAAGCACTCTTGGTAAGGTATAGTTAAATAAAGACATGCTTTTATTTTTTTTGACAGGGCCTCACTACGAACTCTCGGCAAAACTCTTGCCTCAGCCTCCAGAGTGCTGGGATAACATGTATGCACCACACCTAGCAAGGATGTGTTCTTAAAAACACAAAATGAATAAAAAAGATGCTAATGAGTTTTTCAAAACATGGTGACTTTGCCTTGATTGTAAAAACTGCTCATCTGAAGCCGCATGTGGTCGTGCAGGTGTAGGCAGTGTTGCTCCAACTGTACCAGAGATGCTTTCATTACCAGCTGTTGAGGAATCACACACCATTCCAGCCTGAGCCACACACACACTGCGTGACACCTAAACCACGGGCAGGTGCACCCCAAAGGCAACATGCAGGGAGGAGACAGATGACCCCCAGAGCCGCCCGCAGCACCCATGGAGCTGCTACCTCTTGGGGAAGTAGAGTGCAGCGACCTCGGGCTCCAGCCCCTTCAAGTCATCCAGGTAAATGTCGTCAGGGCCCTGGTGCTGGCTTCGCTTGTGGACGCCTGTGTTAAGGAAAACATACACGATGTTAAGAACTTACAATGTGGTGGTAAAATAAACAGCCGTGCAAAACAAAGGCGCCCTGGGCTGCGCTTCACAGGTGTGGACAAAGCCCGTCCGGTTTCTCTCTGGCATCCCAGCTAACACAAGGGAACTCTGGTGCCGGTACAAGGTCCCGAGTCCAATTCCTGGTACCAAAAAAAGGATGCACACGGGGAAGCACATGCACTGCCGAGCCAGAACTGGAGCAGGAATCTACACAGTCCCAGGTGGCCGGAGTAGGAAGGTGTGTTAGAAAAATGCAAGTACCTCAATTCCAAAGATTATCCTCGGAAATAAAGATTTTAAAAGTGTGAACTGTGGAAACCAAGCAAGCAGCTCGCCTCCCTGGTAAGCTGCGGCTGTGTGGCAGATTGCGGCCCCTCCAGGGTGAAAACCACTAGTGTCTCCTCAGATCCACACCATGCTGGAACTTAGGACGCTGGGAAATCAAGCAACCAGCCTACATCCCTGAGCATTAATGAACCTACTGGTGCATGGCCTAGAGTCAAACATCCTACTTCCCCTACCACCCTGCCCTGTGCCCCCGTTAGCAAATGGGAACCAGAAATCTGAGCATCTCCTGGGAGGTTGACCATAGCAAATAAGGGGGATTTCCTTCTACCATCTCTTTGAAGGCAACTATTTTTATTACTGTTTTGCTTTATTCTGATTAATGGTACTGCTCTATTCAATATTCTGTTTTGATAAGTTCTATAATGTTCTGTATTTATTTTATTTTGATATACATGATTGAAAGAACTACTGTAAAGATAATGAAATACACTGTGATACCTATTACTATGATCCCAGTCACCTGCTGTGAAGTTCTGTACCAATTTCACTACACTGTCGCAATTGGCTCTATTCTGTCTTGTTCTGTTGTACTTCACTACTTTCAAAAAAAAGTGTGAAGTGTGAAAGATGCACTTACTCTAAGAAATACAAAATTATCTTATTTTTCCATTGACTGCATATGGAAATTATGATTCAGGACTAGTACCTTGAATAGATGTCACTAGACCTCATCTCACTTGGTTACTCTCCTGTCTACAGCTGGATATGAGGAGGTTTAAGGTGACACATGCGGCTCATGCTGGCCACAGCTGTCAGAGCCAGTGGGGGGGGGGCACTGAGGCAGAACAGCAGGACTGGGCGGGGGTGGGGGCAGCTCCTGTCTCCAGGCTGACAGCACAGTGAGGGCCCCATCTCCCTCAGGCTTTCGCAGTGAACTGGGGTCAGGATGCATGCGAGGGCCGGTGCAGGCCATGCCACTGTGGGCAGCGATTGGATCGCCACAGGGCACTGGTGTCACTTTACACAGTGCCCCTCCCAGTGAGACTGCAGACTTGCGCTAAATTGGTTCTCAGCAGCCTGGGCACGGTGTTGGGACTCGAAAACAAGCGAAGCAGGGCTGGCTGAGAGAAGAGCTCCAAGGCCCGGTCAGAATGGCGAGCCCTCCTCTCAGCGCTGAGCCCTGCCTCAAGGCTCCCCAGGAGAGCAGCACTGTTGCCTGTGTGAATGGACTCCACCCCACCACCACGAAGGGCACCTCCGCGATGCTCCCAGTGACCCTTTACCCACACACCCAATCATCTGCCTAACACCCGACTGCCATGGGACACAGGCTGGAACCAGATGGGGGAGGAGATGCGCACCTGTTCCTGCAGCTGCTTGGCTGCGCCCCTTGAGTCTCCCTGCCTGTGCTTGGAGCCAGGGTGCCACAGTCACTGTGCCCAGGCCGCCTGGGACACAGGGCAACAGCTCAGATCAGGGACACAGGCAGAAAGGGGCCTTGCTGCTGTGGGGGAAAAGGTCACCGGGATGTGGAGCTGAGATGCGTTACCTCTCTTCCTGGACGGCGAGTCCACCTTGGCCACAGGTCTGGGCTCTGCTGAGGCGGCGCCAGCTGGGGGCTCTGTGTCTCCCTCCCGCAATGGCTGCTGTAGAGGCTCCGGGGACCCCTCGGCGGTTGGGCTCTGTGCATGTGTGCATGGAGCTCTGGGTGTGGGCTTCAGAAGGGCATGCACAGGGTCTGCAGGGGCCCCTTCTTCGTCCTCCTCCTCATCCTGAAGGAGCCGGTCCTCACTTGGAATGACCCGGAAGTGTGTGTTTTCTGATGGGGTGATCATAGCCGTGCGGGGGTGATGGTCAGCCCTTTCTCTTTTGCTAACCTAGGAAAGGCAAACTGTTTAAAATCAAACAATTTAAAGGGTACTTGCTGTCTAGCTCTTTAATATAACACATGTACATTGTCATGTTAGAGATAGTCACCTATGTAGTTCAGGTTGGCTTCAAGTTTGTGGCAACCCTCCTGTCTCAGCATCCTAAGTACTGCCATTAGAGGTGTGAGCTGACACACCCAACTTTTCATTTACCACTTAACACAGTTATTAAACACACTGTTGTGTAAAAGTTTATAATTAAATCATGGCAAAGCTAGTAATTGTAACTTGTTCTGTATCATGGTGTTTATAAGAGTTATGTTTTAAAAAAGTTACATTTACTTTTTCTGCTTTTTGAGTCTTGAGGCTGTTCTCAAATTTGCCATCCTCCTGCTTCAGCCTCCTGCATGCTGGGATGACAGATGTCCCTATACTGTCCCATACTTGGAAGACTGCATGGGAAGACAGTATGCCTTGACACTCAGGGGTGTAGAATACTCACTGGAGAGAGACAGCACACAGCAGCGCACTGAGTAAACATAACCGCCTGACTGAAACACGTCAGGGCAGGGCAGTGAGAGGTCCAGGCACAAACGCAAACGTGAACGAAGTTTACATTTAAAAACTAAATTCAGCCTGGCGTGGTGGTGCACGCCAGTAATGCCAGTACCAGAGAGGCTGAAGCAGGAGGATCACTGTTTTCTGCAAGGACAGTCCGGGCTCTGTAGTGGGGTCAAGGCCAGTTTGAGTCACATAGTGAGACCCTGTGTCAAAAACAACAAAAAACTTGCCCCTAAACTAAATTCAACAGTACATCTACACATCTTTAAGATATGTATTTTTCTGGTTTTTTTCCTTCATTATAAACTGGCAAAAAAGCTTTGGAAGTCAATTTTGTATGCGAAATTTCAGTGTGGAGATTTTATTTTCCTTTAAGCGCTTTAATGTCCTTATGTAGGATCCCTTCTCTTGAAACCCTATGACCGGGCTGCCGCTGATAGCCACGTGGGGGCGCCACTGTCACTGCATTTGCTCTGGCAGCCACCCTACCTTGGTGGACTCCGGGAAGCCCCCCCACGTCCACTCCATGTGCGACTCTGCCCGCAGCAGGCTCTCAGAGGGCTTCACCTCCAGCTCTGAGTCGCTCTTGGGACACACAGCCTGGGGATAGGCCCTGGAAAACAGGAGCAAGGACAGGGATGGTGTCAGAGGGAGCCATGAGGCTGGAGCGTGCGCTCTGCAAGGGACGGCAGTACTGTCCTCTCGCCTGGCGCTGGCCACTCATGACTGCTCTCCCCTCCCAAAGGGAAGCTTTGCGTGGTTGCTTTGCGTGTCAGCAGCTGATGTGCGGCGGCGGGTGGAGTAAGCAGCACGGCCACAACAAGCCTGTCCACTGTGACTCACTGTGCCGTGGACACTGGGCACTGACAGCCAGGATTCAGGACCTGTGAGCGGTGGAGTGACCCTGACCTGTTAGGGTTGGCCAGGTCGCGATTACTGAAGAGAGAGCACTGCTGTGGTAACAGCTACACCTGCCTCCCCCTACCCCAGGGAAAGGAGCTTCCAAAGATGCGTACTTCTCCAGCGGGGACCAGTCTCCATCAGATAAGGGGTAGTGATCCCCAGAGTGAAAGCGCAGAGGCTCCTTATATTCTTCTTCTTTTAAGGAAGTGCTGGAAGGTCCTCTGTGAAGGGGAAAGACAGAAAGGATGACGTACATCTTAGTTTTTTTCTTTTTTCTCTTTTTGAGACAGGGTCTTTCTATGCAGCTCAGGCTGGCCTTGAGCTCACTTTGTAGCCCAGGCTGGTCTGGAACTCACAACGATTCTCCTGCCTCAGGCTCCCGAGTCCTGGGATTACAAGTGTGAGCTACCACCCTCAGCTGTACATCTTAGTTTTAAGAGGCACCCAAATCCACTGATGAGCCATCTAGACGATGAAAATAAAGGCAGCCACACGATTAACCTCCTTCCCCAAAATTTTGTACTCACTAACCGCAGGACGAACAGAGAAGGGCAAAAAATTCCTTTTTACACCCCTTGGGGCCACAACTAAAGCCTTACAGCACACATATTTCATTTGGGTCCTACGAAACAGAAGGAGTATGATGGTTAAGCCAACAGTCAGCTGGCTGCACAGGCGATGAGCAAAGCAGCTGTGTATGTGCGCATGTGTGCGTGTGTGCCGTGCCGTGGAGCTGTGGCTTTGGAGGCTGTGTCAGGTCCCTGGCCCCTTCCTCATTCACACTGCTTCCTGATGCCAGGAACCCAATCCTCTGAAACCATGCGCTAAATCAAACCTCTCCTCCTTTAAACTATGTATGTCAAACACTATGTCCCACTGAGAAAAGGGGTTGTAGCTATGTTTGTGCCTGACCATGTGGTTTGGAAGCCTTTAGGAATAGTCTATAGGGTGACTTTGGGAAGCTCTGGAGCTGTGGGCTAGAGAAGCCCTCCAGGGCCATAGCAGGGCTTGAACAGTGACTTTGGTAATAGATCAGAAGACCAGAAATGCTGACAGCAATGTAGATAGTGAAGACCAGGTTCAGAAGTTGCATTTGGGAACAAGGACTTCACTGGTACCACAGCTCTGTGTTTTACTCTGGCAAAAAGAAAAAAAAAATTGTCTTGTTTTTCCTGTCTGGAAAGTAGGAGACTGAGATTAAGGGCAGCAGATACATTGATTTTTAGGAATCAGAAAGACCCTACCCATCACAGGCTCAAGGGTGCAAAAGTAAACATTTCATTTGAGAAGAGTGTTTCTGGGAGCCCTGCTTGAAAAGAGCTCCCAGGGAATTAGCTCCCTGGGACTCACTCCACCGTGCTCACCACCCACACGCTCAGAAACAGCTGCAGCCATGCTCCAAAGGGATCTGACTGTGCTTCCAGTGACAGCAGACCTCGTATCACCTACAGACGCTGATTTTACCGGTATGTAGAATCAAAGTGTTGAATCATGAAGGCCTCCACTCAGACTGCAAAGGTAGGCCTGAGAGGCCAAGCAAGGGGTTCCTGAGAGAATGGCACACAAACCTACAGGAGTGATGCTAATGACATGCTGGAAACCCCAGAAAATCAGAGATCCCAGTCGACTGAGAAGGACTGAGTGAAGCCAGCCCAAGAGAGAGGGGCTATGTGGGTTCCAACCACAAAGCCACAGGGCTGGGGCCACTAAAGCCCCCTGGATCTCATCTCTCATCACCACTTGCCCTGGATGCTGGCTATGGAGCTGCGGGGCTTGCCCTGCTGGATTTTGGGCGAAAGCTTCTCCTGTTCTCTCCCACTATTCTTCTCTGTCAGCATGAGAGTACAGGGGTGTTCACCCTGTGTCACTACACATTGGGACCAAGTAACTTTAATTTTTACAGCAGTTCACAGCTAAGAGTTTGATGGAGTCTCAGAAGAGTCTGACATGGACTTCTGAGAAATGCCACAGACGCTGAGACTCTGGAGCCCGGTAACCAGGGACTAAATCCCCAGAAACCATGAATGAAACTTATTTTAACCCATAAACTTGTCCTATTTTTATGTAATTTTAGTCTGATTCAGATACATTGGAACACAATACAGGAATAAGTATACTTGGAAAATAACCCATGAACCAAATTGAGCCTTCCTCTTTTAAACTGTTTGCATTGGGTACTGTGGCCCAGCAATGAGAAACCTATTATAGGGAGTAATCTTAGTCCGTAACCAGGGATCCAGAGATGTTTAGTAAATTGCACAAAGTCAAAAAGCTAGCACACTGTGGGCCCAGTTTTCATTTGTAATTGGAAATTTATCACTTATCATGTCTACTTCAGAGTCCAAGTGAGATCTGTGGTGTAACATGTTGAAATTTCTGAAAAGGATAAAGTACCAAATTATATAGGTCTAAGGGCTTTGCGTAGAATGTTCTTATACAACAGATACCAACAACAAAATGAGACACTCATATACTTAATATGCTCTATCAGGAATAGAAGACAGTTTATTAGTACTTTTCTTGCTTTCATTGGAGACAGGGCCTCACTATGCAGTTGAAACTGGCCTTCAATTCACTTTGTAGGCCAGGCTGGCCTCAAACACGATGATCCTCCTGCCTCTGCCTCCCAAGTGCTGAAATTACAGAGCTAGCCACCATGCCTGGCTGTCTTCCTCTGTATCTTAACGTTTCACCAATAACTCTGACACATAGGTTTGCTCACATGGTTGCATTTTTAAATTTAAGGTTTTCCTAATTCTAATCTTTCTTCCAGAGTATTATTCAAACACACAAACTTATTCAAGGGGCGAAAAACATACGTTGAAAAAAGCAGACACGTAGGAAAAAAATAAAGATTGAATGATAAACTGTCCTTAAAAAAAACCCAGCCAGATGTGGTGGTGCACACTTGTAACCCTGGCACTGGAATCTAGGAGGAGGAGCAGGAGTAGGAGTCCAAGGCTGGCGTGGATGACATAAGACGACTGCCTCAGAAAAAAGGAAAATCCTTGCCTTTTTGGAACAGATTTCGCCACAGTACAAGAGGCCAAGCAGAGTTCAGCAAAACAAATGAGATTTAATGCAATATTAAAGGGTGAGCTCTGGTGCCATTAAGAACTCTAGGCCCAGGAAGACAGGAGCAGTGCTTATGGGAGGCGCTGAGGGAACGGCCCCGCCCAGGCTCACAGGGAGCAGGGATTCCACCAGGGCAGGCTGTCCCTTTAGTCCCAAGGCCGCTATGCTCCTTCAGAATGGCACACGTCCTGAGATCAGGGCCTGTGAGGATGATGGGGGCATCTGAGGAGCGTCCTGTGGGAAGAGGGGAGCCTGGGGATGTGGGGCACGGAAGTGGCAATGTGAAGCAGGTCACTGCACAGGAGAGGGCATGTGCTGTCAGGGCTGCGGTGCACATGCAGGGACCTCTGTACCCCACAGCCGTTCCACCTGCAAGTCTGCGGTAGCTCTGCAAATGGCCACTGTCACGATTCAGATGCTACAGAGAGGTCTGCCACCACTAAGCTCCCTGCCCTGCGCGCTAAGATCTGCAGACGCATGTGTGCATTAGACCTTGCGTCTTCCAAGTGGGAGAGAAGCTGACACTAAAGCAAACAGCTTGGACTGTCCAGTTGGGACACACGGGCTTTAAATGCCTCCACTGGCAGAAGGAGACGAGTAGGACTGCCGAGTCCCAGGCCCAGGAACACCAGCTCACGAGCTCATGGCTGTACACCAGCGGCCCTGGCCCCATGGTCACTGCATCTCCATGTGGTTCATCATGAGCCTCGCCGTGGACCCTTTCCATGGAAGCTGCAGCTCCCACCAGCTTCATCTGAATGAAGCCCATGTTGCCTGGCTGCTGGGTCACTCCCACCCGCAGGGTCCCGAGGAACCTGCTGAGAGGATGGATCGGGGCCTGGCTGGTAAGGAGCATGGCCACCCCACTGGGAACTGGGCAGGCCCAGCCACTTCTGCCGGGGCGTGACCTGCATGCTGGCCACTGTGCACATTTTGCTGTCCTTTTTCTAAAGTCCTTGTTCCTGTTGGCTGCACAATCAAGCAGAGTTTTAAAAGCAAATTTTAGAAAGGATTCCTGCATGTGACACATGTACAGTTCATTACAGAGCAACCCACAGGAGCAGCAGCCCACAGAAGCCCTGAAAAACCATCCTGGTTCTGGCTGTGAGTGCCAGGCCAGGGCTGCTGACTCAGCGAGGCAGATGCTGGCCCAACAAGATAAGCGGCCACGGGCCCTAACAGGTGACAACACCAGGACCGCACCCAACAAAGCCCGATCACGTGGCCTTCCCCATGACTCGCAAAGGCAAGGTATGTTATTTCTGCAATGCGTTCATTTACGTTTCTCACTCTCAAATTCCTTTACAACAGCAACTCCAGTGCATTTAGGAAGCATTTAGTAAGCAATTCTATGTCTTACGGCATTTCAATATCCTAAGCTAAAGCTGTGACTTGTCAGGGGTCCTGAACTTTGCTCTGCTGTGTTAACAAAGAACATGTCTGGGGCTGGAGATTTAGCTCAGCGGGATGAGCACCTGCCTTGCAAACAGGCAGCCATGAGTTCGATCCCAGTACCGATAAAAAGGAAAAAGACAAAACAACAACAACAACAACAACAACAAAAAACAAAGAACATGTCTACAAATCTGGGACAAGTGTCTTTTTAAGTGGGTCTCAAAAGAATTTTAATTGCAAAAACATTATGAAGCCTAAAGCATTTTCACTATTTCTTTCCATTTTTGACTATTTAGTTGTAATAGGGATTCTGGACTCTACTGAAGTAAGAAAATCTAATGTATTCAGAGTGGGAAGAATGTAAAAAGAGTATCCTATCTGATAGCTGTGATATGAGTAGAAAAAGGTTCACCTATTTAAAAATTACCATCCATTACAGACTATTATTCCATCACTCACCATCCAGATTCCAGGACTTTAGAAAGTCAGTGAATAGTTCTGCCACGAAACAATTATCCTGTGTTATTCATTAATGCAATTACACTACTATATATATGCAATTACACTACTATACAGTGTTCTGTTGACTTAACTATAGAAACAAAAGCTCAGCAGTGAACTTAGGTCAAGGTAAAGTCTGCTCCGCGTGGCTTGGCTTCTGTAACTAGCAAGCGCCACCCCCCCTCCCCCCAAAGAACACTGCAGTGAGGCGCAATTTTCCCTAGGAGGCAAGGAGCCAAGCTGAAACCACACAAACAGCCCTAACCTCACTCAGAGAGACCCTACCCAGTCAAGTCAAGGGTATGGACAGCAGGGCTGCACTGCTTCTCGGGGCTGCAGCAAAAAGCCCTGCCGGGGCGTCCCACGCAGGGAACACCTGCACCACCTGGCCACCCCATGCAGTCGCAGCTGACTGGACAACTGGCAGCAGCCTGGGCTTGTCCGCCAGGCCACTAAGTAACTGCTTAGAAGCTCGCACTCACAAATGAAAAGGAAACACACTCTTCCTTGACTTGGTAGGATACTGGAGGCCAGGCTCAAACAGAGCACCAATTTCCACTTCTCATAGCCTGCTGGGCACTGACATGAGAGCTGGCTGGGGACATGAGGCACAGAGAGGTGCCCTGCCCTGCCCTGCCCGTGGAATCTGCTACCCAACTCCTCTGCAGGCTGGAATAGAGAAGCACTTGTCTGCCACAAATGATGGCTGAGTATCACGGCAGGAGGCTGGCTGCCAAATTCTGCCAGCTGCACAAAGGACAAAAGAAAAGGCCTCTCCTGCTCACTGGCACGGTGCAGTGTGCAAGGTCAGTGCAGAAAAGCTGCCCCTCCAGGAGGCCCAACACCAAGGCTGACCCAAACCACCCTCCCTCCCATGCTCAGGTCCAGCCTTACCTGGCCACCTGGGCCGTTTTCTCATCATCTGAGCTCACGGCCACATCTCTTGCACCCTCTGTGGCAGGGGTAGTTGCCTGCTCCTCCTTCTTACTGTCCTGCTTGCACTTCTTCCTCCTCCGCTTCTTCTTTTTCACAGCACTTGGAGCAAACACCATCTCCTTTTCTGAGATGTGCGGGATCTGGGGTGGGCCTCCAACTCCTCCTGATTTCCCCAAGGGGGCATCAACATCCTTAAAGAACTGATCTTCTGTGGTAATTGGTGAGGTGGCCAGGTAGGCAGGAAGCTTCTCCTTAAACATCACAGAGAAAGCAGTTACCTGGCGCATCTGTGCTGATAGAAGCAGGACCGGTCCCCAGCGGTGCTGCTTCCTCGGGCAGGAGGCCACCCAGAGTCTGCTACGCAGCCGGAGGCAGCCCTTCCTGAACACATGGGACACCATGTGCCAGTGTGCATGGGGTACAGAGGCGAGGCCGGAGGGAGCCCACTCGGCCCTGTGCCCAGCAGTGTCCTCAGCAGCACTGCAAGGCAACACGGGCAACAGACAGGACCATCAGGGGCAGCGGGATGGGGAGGGAGGTGCTGAGTCAGGTATCAGCAGTGGCGGGTGCCAGTGAGCACATGGCCTGCCAGAGCGGGCTGAGGACCTGTGACAGGGACAATCGGTGAACCCGGAAGCATAAAGATGCCCTGAGGAGCCCTAAAGACGGCCAAGGGCCCAAAGCAGTTATACCCCCAGCTCAACACACAATGCATGGCAGGGCCTGGTGTCCAGTGAGGGCCTTTGTCATGGTTTATGTCTGTGGCCCCCAGGCCTCATGCGGCCTCATGTGTTTGCATTGTGCATTTGTGATTCGTTCATTCTCTAGTGCTTGGATTGGGGGTGTGAGTGCTACACCCACATAGGGGTGGAGCCAGCATACAAGGTAATGGCAGGAAGAAGGCATGTCTCTCTCTCTTGCCGATTTCTGCTTTGCTGTTCACAGCCACAATGAACTGCGGCCCCGCCATGCCATCCTGCCTTGGAGCCAACTGAGTATGGACTGAAACCTCCAAAAACTGTAATGGACATCGGTATTTTGTCTCAGCGACGAGTTAAAAAAGACAGGCATCTTAGCCGCTGGCCTCACTGCTCTGCAGCGCTCAGGGCAAATGCCAGACTGGATAAGAGATCCACATGAACCTCCAGTAATTTACCACTTGAGTCCATTTCCCACTCACACCCTGAAGATGTGCGGCTCAGCATCTCAAGGAAGGCAGCTTGGGCAAGCGCGCTTCCCAGCACACAGTGTGAGTGGCACCAGTGCAGAGAAGCTGCCTGGGACAGCACAGACGGGCAGTTTCGGCTTCTGCTTTGGTTAAGGATGGTCTTGGTTACAGAGCCTGCTTGACCTTCCTGAAGGTTGTTTTACAGTAAGGCTTCCAGGGCCAGGGATTTAGTGGCACAAGCGCCTGCCTAGCAAGTGTGAGGTTGAGTTCGATCCCTGGTACCAAAAAAAAAAAAAAAGGAAAGAAAGAAAGAAAGAAAGAAAGAAAGAAAGAAAGAAAGAAAGAAATATACAGTAAGGCTTCCTCGCTTTACTACAGCGACAGTACGGGATGGAAAGAATACGGAGGCTACCAGTGAGAGAGGGGCTAAACACAGTGTGAACCTCCCCGTCAGCTGGACCTAGCCCGCCGGCCTGACGGGGAAACAATGACGACTAAGCGAGGGAAGTTTGAGGGAGACAAAAATAACCAATTGCGGCTACGGGAGCTTCTGGTAATTTTTCTTCCTCTCTAAGCTATGAGCCCCTAGCAAGCAGAGGTTCTGATTCTTTAGCAGTGTGGCACAGGAGTAATTCCAGTGTTTCCTGCATGAACAGGTGGGTTTTCATTTTAAAGACAAACTACATGCTACGGAAGACTGGGTCAGCTCCGCCACATGCAGGAGGGATGGAGGAGGCTGCGAAGCAGCACTGCCTGGCGCTGACTGTGTGGCCCATGGTCCTGCAGCCTCAGTGCCACCAGGGCCAGTTCCTCACTCCCACACCCTGCACAACAGCCAGGGTGTGGCCTCGATGGCAACGAGAGAAACGGGCCAAAATGTTTCACTCTGGTGACAGCTGTCATTTGTCAAGCTTCACTCTGCTCGTCGCCTCTATCTCTGAAGAGACCACTGCTTAGACCGAGCGAACAGGCAAGGAAGGCAACTTAAGACAAGTTCGAGGAAGGCCAGGGACAGCCAGGCAGGACCTGAGCCCCTCATGAGGCACATGCTTCAAGCTGCTGTGTGCTTTGGGTCTGAGTTGGTGGCTTTCTCTTGAATAACACGGTAAATATAACCCAGTTTGCATTTTTTATATTTGGTGATGTTTTTCTTTGAGTGATTTTGTCACCGGCAGTTTATCCTAAAACTGAAAATGTAGTCCTATATCCCTGACACGCAAAGCTTTTCTTTCATTGAGATTTTACCCTTTATGCAGAAAGGTGCAACACTGCCTTCTATGGGTTTTTAATGAGACCCACAGGAAATACATGTAAGAAGGGCCTCCCTGCTCACATGGGTACACACACCAGGGTGTGGTGGGCAGGGGCTGCACAATTATGTTTCCTTGCTGAAAAAAGCCAAATGTAATCATATATAAAAGAACATAGGCCAACAATTAAATCTTTAGCGATCAGAATATGTTCACAGACTATTCAAGGTTAGGAATATAATTTTCCCAATCAAAATGATAAACACGTTCCCCAAGTTTAGAGGCCTACTGCGTACACAGTACCCTGAAGGGCTACACTGTGGTTACTCAGGCAGAATTCAATGCACAGTCAAGGGACAGGTACACAGATGTTAAAAAAGCTCATCACAGAGGTCAGATGAAGATGGGCCTCCCTGTGGGAAGAGCAGAAGTGTGAGGCTTGAGGCCTGCTCCCCAGACCCTGGAGCTGTTGAGAAAAGGCTTCTCATGCCCCAGTTCCATTTTTCTAAATAGGGTTATTTACCCAGAGACCTGGCTCAGCCCAGCACAAGACTAAAGCCCAGCTAATCAGCAGCAATCATTTACACAAGCAAGCACCGGAAAACAGCTGACCATTCCCGGGTCAGGACAGGTCCTGGAGGCTACACACATCATGTAAAGTGAGTGTGACCCAAGAACTCACATATTCCTCTTCAGTTTCTTCCACGAAGAAAGCTTCTCCATTGTCGCCCAATTTCATGTGAAGATCCACTGCATTGCCGTTGATTTCGATGTCAATCTAAGGGGTGAGATGAAGTGTGACTGAGCATGCGGAGGCATTTCTGCTCTGGCTGTGCCATGCCTGACCTTTGGTTCTCCACCCAAACTCGGTGCTGAAGTCCTGCAGCCCAGGCTCGAGACAGCACAGCCCCAAGGAGATGCCCCACCTGAAGCAGTGCATCAGGGCAGGGTGACAGGGTGAGCTGTGATGCAAAGAAATGTCACACTGCCTGCTATCACCACATGCACAAAGCACAGCTGTCTACCTTCCCAAATGTGTGGCAACACATGAGCCATCCATGTGCATGCTGAGCTCCAGCAAAAGGTTTCCCTGGCATCCCGATGTGCTCATCTCAGGGACGCCAGGGTGCCTATGATAGCTGTGACATCTTCCCTATAGCCCTTCAATCCAAGATCAAAGATTCCTGAGTAACCACTACCTGTGCCCGCTATCCACCAGGGACCGGCCACCCCTTATCTGGCAGCAGGACAGGCAGACAACAAGGCCTGATGGTGCTGTGGCCTCCTTGCCTCCTGGAGATGAATCTGTGGATCATTTTGTAAAATGCATGACTGGAAGAGGAACTGGCTGAGATGAAAGTGCAGCTAAGAATTACCAATCGGTAATGTTAGAAGGAGAATTCAGATCAAACCTCACAGTTACAGAGTGAGAAGCTCTTTGTGGAACCTGTGACCTTGCCCCTGGCCGTGGAGGAGCCTGAGAGGCACAGCCAGGGGGGCTGTGTGCTACAGAACATCTCCAGACTCGCTGAAGACACATCTACATGCAGCAGAGAACAAACGCTTCCTAAGGACAGAGTGCCAGCCAGCGATCTGGGAGCTGCTCCGTGTGTTCCATAGGACCAAGCCAAGCGGTAGATGCACTACAGGTATAGAACCAGGGCTCACCCTATCACCGCAGAAAGTAAGTTTCCAGTAAGGAAAAGGGGAAATTGGGGCCGGAGGCGATGGCCTGGAACACAGGGACTCTGCGAGCCCTGGTGCTCACAGGTTGGCAGCAAGCACACCTGGACTTGGAGCCGGAGGTGAGAGATGCACATCCATGCACGTACACAACATCTGCGATGCACACGTGTATGCGGGGCATCCATACATTCCTGCTCTGATGCTGAAAGCCTCAAGCAACAACAGCTCAGCAGCGAGGAGCGCACCCTGTGGCAGGATCTTCATTTCTAATGGGATTTTCCAGCCTAAGGAACAGGGCCCTCAGAAGATGTGAAGTAATCCTGGCTCAGGCAGAGAAGCAGATTTTACTGGACTACCTCACAGTGCCAAAAAGGGGGTAAGGAAGGGCGGGCCCCAAACTGATGGAAACATTTTCATAAATAATTACAATAATGAGTGCAGGGAAACTCATTGACATCTACGTGTTCACACTGATAAATAAAGAGTAGGCTAAGCCTTCCAGAGCTGGGGCTGTGTGGAGGAAGCCAGCCGACACCAACACCGTGAGCCAGGGCCCTGAGGGCCACAGCAGTGTGGAGACTGCATTGCAGGCGCAGACAGCGACCCCCAGAAAAGACAACCAACTCAGCAGGGCGGTCTAGACACTCACTGCTCTGCTGGCCATGATAGCCAGGGTTGAAGGACAGACCAAGGACCTGTAGCAGCGAGCCGGAGACAGGAGCAGGGACACAGCCAGCAGAAAGCAAGTGCCCACGAAAACCGGGGATGCCTGGACCGAGTGCGGTGTACCAATGCTAATTTCTGGCCTTGGCAACTGTGTAGCTGTCACATAAACATTAACATCAGAGGAGGAAGTGGGGGAGAAAAACTTCTTCAGCTACATTTGCAACTTGTCTAGAAGTCTAAAATTAACTCGCAAACAGTTAAAAAGTAAACAGATGTCATGAAAAACAAGACCAAGGAACTGTTCCGGTCTGGAGGGAACTAAAAGGACTGAGGGAACAATGAAATAATGATTATGGTGATGGCACAAATGTCTTGATTGTTGGGTATAAGTAAATGTTAAAACTTATCCAAACTATGCTTTTCAAGTATGTGTAGTTTATTATAATGTTAATTATAAAATACTAAATCTAAAACAAAAAGGTAAGTATTGGGGGAAATGGGAAGTACAGAATGTTGAGTAAAGAAATCCTATGTGACTTAAAAACAATAAAAATGATTATTTTACACCAAATATATTTTTCTTGTACTTTTTTTTTTTTTTTTTTTTTTTGGTACTAGGGATCAAACTCATGACCTCACACTTGGCAGGGAGGCGCTTATGCTGCTGAGCTAAATCCCCAGCCCTTTTCTTGTACTTTTAAAAAGAAATGTCTGCATAAACCACTTTACAGGGCACACATCTGAACCCCAATCCATTTCCCAGGGGGCTTCTTGGGGCTCCCGTGACGGAGACAGCTGACCAGGAAGAAACCTTAGGCAGAAGTCACCGCGAGGTAGTGAGGGAAGGGGCTCCGGCCCTCAGCTTGAATGGGAGGGGGCGAGACTGCAGTCCACCAGTGATTAACTCCCGTAAACAGTCAAGCCTTCCGTTTTGTTTTGAGTCAGCATCAGTATCTAAAGCATAGGGTCCCTGTTTCCTCTCTAGAATGGACTCCAGCTCATTTGCTACGCTGTGACGACGGGCCCAGCAGACAGGCGCACCATGTCAGCTGCACAATGCCTGCACCACGCGGTCTGAACTTCGCTTCAGGGGCCAGTCAGGATCTCACGCTCCATGGCTGTTGCCACATTTGAAAATTTGGGGTCTTGGTGTACGTTGACAACCTTTTCTCCCCTAGAGGCTTAAATAGACAGTGAATATAATCTGCCAGGATATCTAAAGGCTGGCTGGCTGTGTTTCTGATTTCTTATTTTTTTGAGACTGGGACTGTGTAGCCTAGGCTGGCCTCAAACTCAGGCTGATCCTCCAACCTCAGCTTCCTGAGTGCTGGGATTGCAGGCATGCCCACCACCCCAGCTATGGTTTTGGTTTTAGTGTTACAAGAAAGCCACATTCCTTCTCAGACACCCTCTGGGTTTCCATGATAACAAGGGAGGCAAATGGGAAAGAAGTTTTCTCTTTCCCGCTGTCTCCTGGGTCACATTCGCATGAAAATGCAAGGGTTTGACAAGACATTGAACACACCAAACTGTGGCCTCGAACAGAAATGGTGCTACAGCTCAGAGGTGCTTGCCTGCGCTCAACAGGCCTCCCCCATCACTCTGGGATCTGTCCAGGTGGGCCAGCGACTGATCCAACCTGCTGGAACACTTGGTTCCGTAGGGAAGAAGAAAGAAGTCTCAAGGCTGTTTACAGAGCCATGCCCGGGAAGGGGATGCCTCAGGGCATAAACAGGGTGCAGCTGACCCGAGACAAACCAGTCCAAAAGCTGCTCCTGTCAGGAGAAAAGGGCCTGCACTGCCCAACAGCGCTGCTTTGCAATAGACAGTTCCCCAGTGGCCGAGCTATAGCTCTTGCTCTCTAAAGGAGCACCAGCACAGAGGCCAGACCACAACCCTGCCATTCTGAACTGTCTTAAGTTACTTTTCTCTCATTGTTGAGACAAAATACCTGACATCCAAAGTGAACCAAGGGAAGATTCATTTCTTAGTTTTGGGGGTTTCAATCCATACTCAGCTGCCTCTAAGGCAGGGTGGCGTGGCATGGCAGAGCTACCATTCATGGCCACCACACACAGCAAGAGTGAACAGAGCAAACAAGGAAAAAACATGGCTTCTTTCTTGCCCTTACATTCTGCACCCTGGGGCAGGTGCAGCCTTCACAGCACCAATCCCACTGCTAAACAACAAACCAATCACAAACGCTAGCTTCAGCAGCCTGCAAGACAACATGAGGCTTGGCGGGGAGCACCTAGACACAAACTGTTAAACCATGGGTCTCTTGTCCAGAGTGACTTTGTAATGTCTGAAAAAATGAGATGCTATTCCAGGAGGAAAAAGAAAAAAATCCAGTTTTATAAGACCCATTTTCTTTTCCTCTCAAAGTAACAAAAGTTAACTTATATAGAAGGGAAGCTGTATTTAAAGAGTAATATCAACTACATAAAATAACAAAAAGCTGAAGACAGACACCAGAAGACAGCTCCATGCCTCTGTTGTTTAGTCAGACACAACCTTCTCACCTCAGAGCAGGAAGAGAAATAGCACTCGGCTGGACTTTTAGGACTAACTCAGATTTTCAACTTGATGAAACCTGAGACTAGCAGATGTCTGCCTTGAGCCATAAGCTGAGGGGAAGGGACATACAAGTAAGAAATACCAATGCAATTCTCCTAAATGTAACAAATGAAGTCCAGCATAGCCTTGTCGGGGAGCCAGCATCCTAGGGCACAAACCAGCAAATTTAGATTACAAACATACTACAGGTTTCTTTTATGCAAATAAAACATTCTCAAGTACACCACCCGTCTCATTTACAACTAACAGGAAGGCATTTTGTTGTTTCTGCTCCACCCTCCCTCCCTTCCCCACTGACAATATTTTCTCTTTTCCCTGAGTTGGACACAAGGATTGTGGGAATCTTCTGCTGCTTCTCCCAAAAGTCTTCCTGGAGCAGGGACCATGGGACTCAGAAGCAGCTTCTGAGCTGCCTTGGGTGCGGGTCTGCTGGATGCCACACTGCTTGCCCGAGCAGTTCACACGCACTCACCACTTTCTCCTTGGAGCGCAGGACGCCCAGTTTCCCGAAGCGCACGTGGAAGGGGGAGCACTGGAAGGTGCCATCCTGCTGCCGCACCACCACGACATCGATGCAGCCCGACAGGGTGGCCTGGTTGATGCCCTTGTACAGCTCCTTCACGGTGACGAGCACCTGTCCGGCCAGCTGGCCAACATAATTCATGGTTTGCGACTGCAAGAAGAAAACCAGATGTGGTATTAATGCCAAGGCTGTAGATGTCACCACAGCAATGTGGAGTCTCAGCGGTGCCTAAAACTCCTATGCACGTGAGGTTTTCCATCACCGCCAGCCTTGTGAAATAGTGGACAGCCCAGTGGTTGCTGGCACCCTGTCCTCACGTGTCCCCACATGGACCGTCCCTCCCCATGATCCCAGCCTGCTCCTCAAGTGCACAAGCTTCCCTTCCTTACCCATCCCAGCTGCAAGTCACAGTCTGCAGAGACTGTTGGAGCCCAGGGCTACCGCAAGCACTCGGGCCACAGGAGCAGAGCAAGACAACCGAGGAGCCAGGAGCTGTCACCCAGCTGCAGCAAGGCAGAGAAAGCAGCTCAGTACTGAAGCATAGGGGCTTCTCTCAGTTCAGCCACAGGCTGGATGGACAGTATTCAGCTGGCCTGGTCTCCCTCGTTTACAACATCTCTTCAAGGGAAAGTCCTTCTATGCTTTGTGCAACTCGCTGGGGATTTAGGCTCCACGGGGTGCCACACTCAGGAAAGGAGTGTAATCCTTCCTGAGACAAGAGCTCCTTGGCCAAGGCTCACTGGTCAGGCAGGATGGCCAGAGGTCCCAGGGTCTTCCAGAGAGGATCGCAGGCTGGGAGCTGCAGTGCAGCTGGATATGCGTGCCCTAACCCCAATTTTCTGCAGAGAAATCAAAACCAAACAGCACAAACCCTGCAGTCCTGAGCTGACACGTTTCACGTCCAGTTATTGCTATGTCAGAGGGAACTTGTGAGACAGCCTCCAGAGCCAACCTCTCGTGAAGCAGGTCCCATGAAGTCTCTTCACCCCAGCTCCAGGTCTGGCCTGGGATCGGAGTGCTGCGTCCTGCAGGGTTCTAGAGAGCCTGTTTTGTGTTGCCAAGAGGTCGAATGGAACTGGGAGAAGAATGCCATCCCTGACGAAGACCATGCCACACTGCTCTGTGCAGAGGAGCTGGCAGTGCCGCTCCCACTGCACTTCCGGCTCTCTGCACAGCCCTGCAGCTCCAGGGCACCATGAGAGACCAGAGTCATTTCACCCTTGAGCCCAAGAGCTGGCCCTGAGCAATGTGTACCAGTGGTGAAACTTACAAATGTTAAAGTAAGCAGTGACCTTTATGTTGCAGTCATAAACAATGACCAGCTGGGGACTGCTTTGGTTTTAGAACTGATTTGCAAGGCTAGATTGCGCACCTATCAACTATCTGTATTTCTTGAATGAATAAAACAATAATCAAATGAACCACCAATAAGAAAAGAAACTAAACAACAACAACAACAACAGAAAAAACCACTTGGGAAATAATAGCATTTCACTGTTCATATAACAGTTGGGCGCACTTTAAAAAACTGGCTTTTCCATTCTGGAACCATGGTAGACCCAGTTCTAAGATGCACTTGCCCCTACCTAGTTTCTCTGAGCCAAAAGCACAAGTTCAGCAAACTACCAATGAGGAGCCAGAAACGCTGCCCCAGGTGGCCTCCCCCCTCTTCGCGCCTCTTATCTGTGCTCCCTCCCTCTGTTCTCCACTTCTGAAGTTTCTGAAATTTTAAAGAGAGGATGGAGCCCTGCAGGGTGCCCCTGCTCTGCCTGTGTGTTACTGAGGGTCCCAATAGCTTGCTGCTACTGTGTAAGACTGCTGTGTTAGACACCTGGTGTGGCTGTGCCACTGTGTGTCTCACGGTAATTGGTGAGCGACAGCCGCACTGTTTCTAGCTCCCGGCTATTAGGAGTCAAGATTCTAGGTATCCACACTGCAGTGGATGAGCTTTACTTCACTGGGGTGATGCCTCGCGTGCCTGTACGGTTGCATGGAGCGGGACTTTGCCAAGCTATTTCCAGAGCTGCTGGGCCGTGTTACACTGCTGTCAGTGAGGTGTCCCCAGCACAGCATGGTGTGGTCACCGCTTCTGCATTTGCCATGACCATCTTTCTCATACGCTGACCTGCGCGTGAATGTGCCCTAGCTGCAGCCTCACATGGGGAAAGGGAATGTACATCTTTCTCACTTCTCTCTTGGGGACCCACGTGGTTTTGCAATATTCTCAGGGCAGTCCTAAGCAGCCCACCTGCCTGCCCTCACACCCACAGTGCTGTACTTCACGGCGCTCTGGGAGAAGCCTCCTGCCCACTACATCCCAGGGACCGGGCAGCACTCACACCGCCTCTTTTCATTAGCAAAGCCCAATGGTGATGGTGATGGTAAATGACTTTTATCACAAGATATAAAAATCATAATTATATGGGTCTTTTCTTAAAAGAAACCCAAAACAATAACTTTTGAGTGTCTCCATTCAGTAATAAACAAGTCTTATAAGCATCAATGTGCAATAAACTCACATCAACTACAGCATAAAACCTGTAATTAAATGTAACAACATCTCTTCAAGATGACTTTAATTACCACAGGAAGGGGTATGCAGCGAAGATGAAAATCTACTGTGTAGATAGATGCTGGTTGCTAAATGTAGAAAAACACAGGCTGTCGAATAACTGGGTTTCCCCGGCAGACATAAAAGAGTTCCGTTCCTCGTATGAAGGCTGCAAAACCAATCAAGTCTCACTTTAGGAGAGGTCAATGCCTGCACGTGGGCTGCGCCCTGGGAATAGAAGTGAGGACCACCCATGTATGGGGTTGGTGCTTCTCGGGGTGACTGCCACCTGCACCCAGCAGCTTCCTGTGCAGGCAGGAACCGGCACCACCATCCTTCCAAATGCCTGGCCCAAGATGGGTGGAAGCCAAACTCTTCAGCAGAAACATAACACACAGGGCCACTGCCCAGTGCCCTCCAGGGGATGCCCCGCAAACACACCAGCTTTTGAATTAAAAAAATCAAACTATAGCAAACTAGCATACATCATAAGCTATGTTACCGTGAAGGATGAAGAAAAAAATGAGAGACAGGGGGAGCAAAGCCCAGAGCAGTGAGTGAAGGAGACCAAGGGCAGAAAGGGTGGGAGCGGGAGGCGAGGAACTGTTTGGCGAAAAGGCGCTGACTGGTCGTGGCATGGGGAGAGAGCATCCCTGCTTCCAGCAGAACATAGCTCCTGCACACCCCTGAACCAGGGTGACATTCATGGTGATTACAGTGCAGCAACTCCGCTTTTGAGGGTAACTTTAGAGTTACCCTCACACTCCGGTTCAGAAGGCTTCATTATTTCTATTTCTAACGACGGTGGAAGCGAGACTTTGCAGGCCCCCTCCTGTCTGTGAGCTGCAGCCTCACCCCAAGTGCTGCTGCCTGGAGGCGGCTCCAGGAGGGGATGAGGTGCAAGGCTGAACACAACTGCCTCTGGAACTTGGAGGCAAGGAGACAATGCTCCCTTCTCCCTCCCATGGCCCCCTGTAAGGTCACAGCAAGGGGCCTGCTACCCTGAGGGGCCCTCACAGGCCAGCATCTCCAGCTTAGACCCCACCAGGAGTTAGGGTCTGCTGGGTGCTGCTGGACCACTCAGGATGGCTGTTCTGGCAGCCCCATCAAAGACCAGAGTCGTCTTACATGCTAACTGCTGCCCTGCCTTTCAGTTTGGGGATTCTAACACTTGATTGGCTCATGAGTTTAGAACTGTGCAACTTGTGCCCGTGTGTGTCTCTAAGCTTCAGAACTACACTATGCACCGCGGCCCAAAGCTATCAGTGCCCGGGACTTCTCCTGAAGGCAGGCTGTCTTCTGCCATGCAGACACTGTGGTCACCTGGCCACAGAAACAGGAGATTGCTGCAGAGTCCAAAGTCAGCATGCCTATTGCCAGGCCCCACCCACTGCAGGAGGAAAACCTACCCACTGGACCGCGGTCCAAACTGCCTGATGGCCTCTGGGAGCATTGTGGGTGGTGACCTGTCACTGCATGCTCACGGCATGAGGGATTCGCCAAGGGATGGGCTCCTGGATACGCCAGGAAGCTAACACAAGGACACTGGTACTCAGGAGCATGGCACTCCTCTGGGACGCCAGGCTGTGCTCTGGACTGACACCTCCCGGATTGGTTTTCGAGGGCCTTATCAAACTCGCCTTGTTGGATCCTTCTAACCAGGAGGAGATCCTACAAGGCTGGCACTGCTCAGCTGACTTCTCACCTGAGACAGACAAGGGCGTGCACTTTCAGGGTCCATTCACTGGAGCCCTGTTCTGCCCCTACTCGGGGTCCCATTTTCCTATCCTCTGTATACTCCGCTGCTTCATTGTTCAGACTCAATGCCACCTAGTGTCCCTGTCAGCAAGACAGGATCAGGCTGAGCGCAATATCCTGCAGCTGCTTCCCAGAATGGAGGCACATGGAGGTGGCTGCAGAGGGCGCTACCTGAGAGCCAGCAGAGAAAGACGGCAACAGCAGCACAGGGCAGATGGTGCACCTCCCCTGGGCCTCCCCACCTCTGCATGGCTTAACCCAGCCAGCGACCTGTATGAAGCATTTGCAGAGAGCCCAGCACATGCCACAGGGGTCAGAAAGAAGAAAGCAGGTCAACAAGGAGCTGATTTTGGGATGAAAAACTATACCCAGAGCCAGAGATACAAGTGCCGCCCTCCAATCCCAGCACTTTGGAGGCTGAGGCAGGACTGAACATCTGAGGCCACCGTGGGTGCTCAAAAGACCTGTCTCAAAACTGTTTCAAAAAGCAGCCAGGGGTGGATGCTCAGTGCAGAGGCCCCAGCTCAGTCCCCTGCAGAGAGCCTGGCTCCTGGGAGACGAGGCCATCAGACCAACACCTGGCTCTGCACCACGCTGGTTTCCCGCCATGTAGAATGCCAATTTGTTTCTTTAATTTGTATTAATTTATAAACACCCCTTCAGATCCCACTTTATAAAATAAGAAATAGCAGCAGCACAGTGTGACTGAGGTCCCTGGAGGCGAGCACTGTTCCAGAGAAGCAGTGGGCTGAGTCACACTCCTGCCCTCAGTGGCAAAGGCCTGAGCTTCTTGGCGAGACCTGGGGAACTGGAGTAGGAGCGACCTCCACACTTCCGCACC